GGGCTCTCCGCTCGCCCCTCGCTGTTTCCCTTCCCCCTCCCCCTCCCAACCTGGCGGCCCAACCCGGCGGCCCTCCCCTCTCCCCCAGGCGGCGGCGGCGGGCGAGGTCGCCCCCCGGCCCGGCTCCGAGGTGGAGAGGCCTGTCCTCCCCCCCCTTTGCCGGGCTCGGTGGCGGCTGGCGAGGCCCGTACCCTCTAAGCTGAGTTAGTGTGAGCTAGCTCACAGTTTGTTAGCCTCCGGCTCACACATTTTTGTCTTCGCTCAGGAAGGGATGGCTGCAGAGCAAACTACTTTATGCAGGAGCCAAATCGCTGGCTCACAACTTTAATGCCAGTAAGCTCACAAAGTAGAATTTTTGCTCACAAGACTCCACAGCTTAGAGGGAAGCAGTGGTTTGGAGAACACTGAGCTGTTTTACTCAGCTGGGCAAACATGCCAGGATGTCTCCAAACAACATAGGCTACAGCTCAGTTCTCACCTGTAGAAGCCATCAAGGCTTCCTGCATCACTGGGAGAGGTTTCCCCTCCACGTGCAGTTCAAGCAGTATGCTGACTGAGACGTCTACCAGTGTCTCTTCTTATACTGTGCTGAACAGGGGAGGGCTGGTGGCTCTATACCTGTGGGACTTCCGGCCTGCTAACGTTGAAGAAGAGGCAGAGTCAGCACACGGCTAAGGGACAGTGGTAAGCTCAGAGGGACTTCCGGCCTGCTAACATTGAAGAAGAGGCAGAGTTAGCACACGGCTAAGGGACAGTGGTAAGCTCAGAGGGTCTGGAGCCTTGGTTTGTGAGTGTGATGGATAGACAAAAGCCCTTCCCCTTCCTGAAAAACACCAATCCCCTTTTGTCCTGTTTGGCGTGTGAGCAGGCAGCCAATTAGGATCCCTGGATGGGCTGGAGGAGCCAGATGGGAGGCGGGAGCAAGAGAGAAAAGGCTGTTACACTGTCAGCTCAGGCAGACAGGGCCTGAACCTTCAGAGAAAGAGAGGCTGGAGGGAAGGATTCTGTCTCAGTTTGCCCCTTGTGTAGGCAGGCTACACCAGTGAAGGTGCAGAGACAGGGTTTACGCCGCTGGAGTTTTAGGTGTCTCAGAAGACTCTGGAAGTCTCAGAATCTGTCTTTGGTGATACACCAGCCTAGCTTGAGGAAGTGACTGAATCGATCTCGAAGCCCCGGTTTCTGAGGGAAACTAGTGGAAGATCTGTCACTTCTGAGAGGAGCTCACGTTTACCGTATGAGAATCCTGAAGCTGAGGGGAGGTCAATATTCACCTCAAGAATACAAACTAGGTTGCTAACTGCACTCTGTATGCCTAAATTGTTCAGTTTAACCTTATGAATGAATGGGCCCAGAAAGACTGTGCTAAACCTGAAAACAATTTCTATCCTTCTTTTTGAACCACCTTATTTCCCCATCCCTGAGTGTAAATAAAAGTTACTGTTCTTCTTCTGTTTCCTGCACAGGCGCAGAACTTATATTATTCAGAAGCCATTGGGTTGGGTCTGTCAAGTGGAGAGTTGGGGTAGAGACCACACTGGTTGAATTTTACATTACACTACCTGTTTAAATGTGATTTTTAAAAACTCCTTCACAGTGGGGCAAGCACAAACCAGAGATTTCCAGATTAAATGTAATCCATAAACCTGGAAATAATTAAGAGATAAAGTGAACAGAACAATTAGGAACTGAGGAGATGCTCTAATTTCAAGTATCTCTCCTTCATCACCATTAGATGGGCTGGGAGCCACATTCTACCATGGCCTGGGTGAGAAGCTCCACCGCCAACTAGATCCAATGTTGGCTGGCAGCACAATTGTTGGAAAGGCTATTTCCTCTTGACTCACTGCAATCCCCACATGGGTAGCAGCAGTAAGAAGTGGGAAGAAGCTTCAAAAACAGGAGCCCTCAATGTCTCTCTTAACTATTCCATTACTAAGACATTAGCTAGAAGCCAAGTTCCATCTGAACTCAACTTTCTTATACTGATTTAACCTACTGTAAACCACATCAGAGATTAACTAATCAAAAGACAGGGCAGATTTTACACACACACACACACACACACAAATTTAAGGATCTCCCAGAGTCCTTCATACAGTAGCACACCAAGAAGCAAGCCTTTAAGACTGTTACAGCAACATAAGCATGCAGCTCAGTTTTCTAACAAATTCTAAAAGCACATCTGTGAAAAATAATGTTTCAAAATCCATTATGGTTGGGAAGCCCCATCATCATGTCTGCCCATAAATTAAGCTACCCATGCTCAAGTTAACTATGGTTTATGCTAATTAAGGCTCCCTCGCAACATGGTTTGAAGCTGATTAGTAAATCCAGGTTAGCGTTACGTGTAATAACACTGGAAACAAGATGCTTCTTAACCACAGTTAAGACCTACAAAGGGAGGAATTGATACTAGACATCGGAGGAACTGGAAGAAGAGAACTCTTCTCAGAAATCTGTCCCTGATCTTCTTCTCATGGATCTGCCCCCAGTCTCTTAACTACTGAAGACCACGTCTGCACCAACTTAGGTGTAGTTCTAATATTTTTTTTAAACCGAAAAGCAGTCACAATCAAGGGAAATATAAAAGTAGGGTTTCCACTTTGGTTTTTCTTAGTGGAAAAGTACAGGTTTGTTTGTTTGTTTGTTTTAAACAGGCAAGAATCCCAATACTTGTGTACGTCTGAAAGGGGTCTGAAGTGTGCCCAGATAGCGATATGCTCAGGTCAGGCTCCTGACTGGGCAGAAAAGAAAATTTTGTAGGCAGGAGACAAAAAAAATACCAGGCAATTTTTTTTAACAAGAAATAGAAAATAACGCACTTTATTTTTCTGCATGTGTGTTTCAATATACAGACCTGCATCAAGGACAGAAACCAGAGGACCTTGCAAGAATGGCATCCGTCAACACCACTCACTGGAATGAAACTGCACCCGTCTACCAGTACCTTGGTTTTCAAGTGCAGAAGATTTACCCTTTTCATGACAACTGGAACACTGCCTGCTTTGTTATTCTGATCGTATTTATATTTACTGTAATATGTTTGGTGGTGCTTGCTTTTTTATACGAGCTACTTGACTGCTGCTGCTGCGCAAAAAATAAAACCATGAAAGACTTAGAGAACGAACCTAATCCGGTTAGATCTTTGATGGAAAGCTTCAGGAAACGCGAAAGGGAAGTGGTGTAGAGGCGGACTGAGGGATCACCAGCCTCTGCATTGACACATGTGTTCAACATTGTAACGAAACCTCTTGCGTTGTAAGACCGAGCGAGTCAGATTCTGCTCAGCCTTAAATATCAGTATTAGCAATGTCTTTTGTTCACTGTTGGATAGAAACTGGAAGGGTTCAAAGAACGCTTCATAATGGGCGACCAGTCACAGTGTTGTGTGAAAATGAGCAATTTTTTTTGTTTTTAATGGACTGCTGTCGATTAGAATTGATGACTCCAGTAAAATTTTGTTTGTATGATCAATTTACCCATTGTTTAATTGTCATGATCCTGGTTTGACACTATCAAACTCCCAACAAGGAAAAAATGTTAACATTAATTACATACACCTGAGCACATTCAACTCCACTGGAGATTCTAAACATGTTATCTCAGTCTTTATACTTCTGAAGTACTTAGGCATCACTGCTCCAGGGAACTTGTAAAACCACAGAATCACAAGGTTTATAGTTGCACCACAGACCTGACAACCATGCAGCTTCACCCTGACACTAGCAAGTTTCCTCATTTAAGGAACGGGTGGGAGGTTGTTAAAAAAAAAAGGTGTTTTGTTTTGTTTTCCAGGGTGTGGGAAATCCCTTCTTTGTACCTATAAACAGACAAGGAAGGATCTCTGCTGACATCAAAGCAACCATACTTTCTCCCCACTGACATGGACAAATACAAAACGGTACAAGAAAGTTGGGTCTGGCTATAAAAAATGGCGGCCCTGTTAAGGGCCCCCGACCCCCATTGTAATGATCACTCTTTTGGTGACATCCTGATATCACTACACTGTGCCCACTGGTCCCCACACCCCTACTGCCAGCCAGTAACGGAGGAGTAGGGACAGGGAAACACAGAGCATTACAATAGTGCCAGGACATGCCATTTTCAGCCAGGACATGCCATTTTCAGCAGTAGCCTCGTGTAGCATATAATCCCATCCTCTGACTTCTCTGGGAGCTGCGGGTGTGTGTGCAAATATTGAGCTGATCTTGCGGGGGGAGGGGGGGTTGCGGCTGTACACTAGGGAATCCTAGTGAGGCCTCAGCACTGAATGGCCAGTGCAAGTTCCAGGTGTTCAGATAAGTTGACAGTTTTCTCTTTCAGCTTCAGGAGCTTCAGTACTATTATGCTTCCTTTGCTACTAAGCCCTGAAATTATATCCTCATGACTTGAAGGATGGGCAACTATGCACTAGTAGGTGCCTAGAATCTGAACAGAGTGCTGAGGCGTGCTTGATTATACAACACAACAGCACGACTGTATTCCACTGTGCTGTTATGAGTGCCCAAGAGGATTCCTGGCCTGCTCCTAACTTGCTTCCTTGAACTCCTGCCAGCAACTTAAAAAAATCTCCACCTCCAGAAACAGAAATCTCCTGGCGAGTAGATGGGTACCAGGAAAAGTGGAAGCTCATCCTACAAATCCTCTCTTTCATAGGCTCCTTCCATTTATATTATTTCTAGGGCTACAATATGTGGGAAATCTGGAACCAGAGTATGGTCTTCTTTACAAAGCCTTTTCTTCTGAAAGTCGTTTCCTTTTGTCTTCTAAAAGTGCCAGAAATCTGAACTACTTCACTCAATCTTTAATTGCACAGCCAAAAGGATAGGAACCTTAATAACGAAATATGACAACATGGAGATACTTCCCCAGGATGACTCTATACAGCAAGCTCCCAGTTGTACTTGAAAAGATAAAGAAGCCTTGAAAACAAGGGTGCCAAAAGAAAGGGAAGAGTATGACAAGGCGGGGGGGGGGGGACACAGGGAAAAATTATGTAAGCCAGTGTCACCAGTCTAGAATTCAAAATGACCTGACACAGTCCCAAAAGATTTTATTTTTTCATGTCACACAGGCAGTTGCCAACACCATCTTCTGTGGAAATGCAAATAATTTCCCATTATGTTACTAAAAACAATACCGAAAAGCACATCATTCATCCCTTTACAGGCTTTCAACAGACAGCCTTTGTGAAAAGTTACATTAAATAGCAGTTTTGCCCACTGCTAGAATACTTCTTGTTGGAACGTTCAAAGCGTTTTGCATACCTCTCCTTACAAAAGCCTTGTTAAAACAGGCTCCTGCAAGTGGGGATGAGAGACGATCAGGTGTTGTGAGACACCGGCTTAAATAAAGTGACCACAGTTTATGGCTGGTTATATTAGAAAGATGGACTTCCCAGTTCACACCCTTAGACCCTAATCTACCCCTGAATCATATGCACTAGGGGTGTGCATTTGAATCTACCTGAGCCAAAAAAACCCTGAAAAATACCATATTGGTATTCTTGGGGTATATTTCGGCTTCCCAAATGTATCTGGGTTTTCGGGGGGGGGGGGGAATCCTGAGAAAATCTGGAATATCTCTGGGAATTGCCAGTAGATCCGAAAAGAGCAAGAGGCAGGCGCAGCTTGCTCCCACCTCTCAGCTGTTTGTCAGGCTTCTACAGTCCCTTTACACCTTAAAGAGGCTGTAGAAGACAGGCCCCACCAGCTCAGCTTGGGGCTGGCTAGCTTCTCCTGCAGCCCGGTTTAAACCGGGCTGCAAAAGAAGTCAGCCCAGGATCAGCCTCGGCTGGGGCTGGCTCCTCTTGCAGCTCGGTTTAAACCAAGCTGCAAGAGAAGTCAGCCAAGACCGGCCGGGGCGAAGGGAGCTGAGAACTCCCCTCCACCTTGGCTTGGCATTGGCTTCTCTTGTAGTCCAGTCTAAACTGGGCTGCAAGAGAAGGCAGCCCAGGATCAGCTGTACTGGACCCCAAAAATTCGGGATTTCCAAAAAATCCTGGATCCAAATACTGCACTAGTATTGGGATCTGCGATTTTTTGGAAAACTTCCATTTTTTCCCAGTTCAATATACCTGACCCAGAAAAAAACAGGGGGGACTGCACACCCCTAATATGTACGTAATCAACTACTGATATTTGTTCTATAGCACTTATCTCACCTTTCTCCATAATGTTATTCTCCACATATTAGATTTACTACATATGCATAAACCAGAAGATATCAAAACAAACAAACCCCATAGCAGCTTCACAGCCACAGATGTGCTACAAGGATGATCCAGAAAATACTGTCACACCCTGTAGGAGCTGGACTAAAATTCCAGTAAGTTAGCGCTTCCATAAGAGCCATTTTTAAATGGAAAAATGAACTTTCAATTGATACTCTCTCAAAGCTGCTTAGGTTAAAGAAAAATAATCTCAGAATGACATTCTTAGGAAGTCACCTATGAAATTAACTGAAGGCGATTTTAAGGGGGAAACATGGAAGAATACATGCTTAAATCTAAAAAACCCTCCATTTTTGTCCCCCTCACAAACCTGCATTTTGTTTTGAGCTTGATGATCCACCTTGTTCGACCTTGGATTTCTTCTTTTTAGAAGAGGAGGAATCAGAAGATGGTGCTGGGCGCTTTTCTACAGCAGGCGTGGAGAGTGCTCGTTTCTTGAAAAGTTCTCGTTCTCTTAACAAGCTGGGATCCATAATTCTGTTGAGAGAAAAAACATTTTATATCAATATGCCAAAATAGTGCTTGATTTCAGTATTGCAATTTTGAAGAAACACAGGATAGAGATATGTTTTGTTCCTCAACTATAGATCTTCGCCAGGGCTGTATTATAAGACTAGCTAGATTTCGGCAAGATTCTGGGATCCTTCCACTGGAATCACTATATCAGGTACCAATATATTAGCAGATGTATTCTTTCCCTGCTAAGGCAGGGACGAAACAGGAGGGGGGGGGGAAACTGGAAAGGATAAAGCTCAGGCCACTGAAAGTGAAGCTGCCAAAATAAAATTCAAGCTGTATTTTCATCTAACATCTAGTGGGGACTTGTATTCCGCTCCATTATTATTATGGTACACTGGGACTTTCACCAGCTCGTTACATTGCCTAGGTATATATTCCTTCAAACAAGCTTTTAAGGCCATCTCTCTTTACTAACTGAACAATGGAGCAGGGGTTTCCAGGAAGCAGCAGAGCAAGTTTAGAAAGGGTACCAAGAAAAAAAAAGGTCAAACTCCTAGAAACAGAAGAATGTATCAAGAAAATAATAAATGCAGCTAGACAATGGGGGAGGCTCCTGAAACTCTTTTCAGAGCAATTCCAGAAAGGCTGGTGTGTTGGTGTGTTGTAGTAAAATTATACTAGAGTCTGGCAGCACTTTAAAGACTAACATGAGCTTTCCAGATACGGGCAGGAAAATGCGGGGGGGAAGCGTGGCTGTTTGCCCCGGAGCAAAATAACGCGCGGTTGCGCAATCAGACATCCCGTAGAGGTCCCGTGGTTAGGGGGGAGGTGCTAATCACACGGGTTTAACCCCTTCTAGAGCTGCAGAGGAATGCAAACTGTGTCCTCCGTCCGGTCCCCTCCAGGAGGAGCTTCAGCTGGGCCGCCCTCCCACCACACACACCCCTGCACCTCCCCCTCTGCCGCCCGGTGCAGAGAGTTCCTCTCAAGCAGGCCGAGCCAGGAGTGGGGTACGGAAAAGAGGAGGGGGCTGTGTTGTTCGTTTTTAAACGAAGTGTGCACATATGTCGTTGGGTGCTTGTGCGCATCCCGTGGAGACTTGGGGGGGGGAACCTTTTAGCGATGGGACATGGGTGGGCGCCGGATGCCACGACCTACCACCGGAAACGCGATCAGGCACCCGCCCTTGCCCCGCGGTTTCCGGAAACTAGTACCTCGGAGGTACTAGTTTTTTACCCCACATCTTTGGCAGGAAGCCTCGGGTTCGCCACAGGAGCTCTACGCTTCCCAGATGTGGCGCTGTGATCATGCCCGGAAAATCCGCCTATCTTCTGTCTCTGTAGCGTGGCTAATGCTCCGTGTGACCACAGCCCTTATTTACTTACTTTTGTGAGACAATTACAACTTACTAATAATTATGTTTAGCATTTATATAGAGCTTTACTAGGATCAAAGTTCTTCACAAACATTGCCTTGGTAATATGTAAAACAACCCTATAAATAACCATTATTGCCGATTTGAGGGTGAGACAGTGGCTTGCTCACAATCGTATGTGAGTTCAATGGAAAATGTGGGATTTGAATCAGTGCCTTCCCACATCACACATAGCAACTTCAATAGACCATCTTTCTATGTTACAGGGGCCCCATATTGTTAGAGGTGTAGGCTCAAAACTGAGACTGAAGCAAGGCTAACTAGAAAGCTAAGAAGCTGTAGGTGCCTTCCAAGAGCATTTATCAAAAATCAATAGCCTCTGACTTGCGCTTAGGTAATCAAGAAATACATCTTGAAGCCTTGAAAGCCAGAAACTTTTGACTCACCCTCCATTTCATTCCAGGATGATCACATACAACAGCAGGGCTGGTATCCCAGCTGGGAAGAGTTCACAAAGTCCCATAGGGAAATACAGTGAACATTACAATGAAGTTAGCTGTGAACAGATGGATGCCGGAATGAAATTCAGTGGCATTTAGGATGACTTCTTACAGCCTTATGAAATTTGATATTAATACCTGTTCCTAACTTCTTGGACGAAACCTTTTTGGTTTTGCTTTCCTCTCTCTCTTCCATTTGCCTCCCATCTTCTATGGAACCTTCTATTCATGCCCCCCCCCCCCAATTTGGGGCACACAGGATAGTGAGTTTAACGGGAGGGAGTGACAGTTTGACAACAAGTGTTTTATACTTTATATTTTTCAAAGCAGCAATACAAATTGTAAGCAGTCACGGTGAATTATTTGAATTGCTTCTGGACAACTGTATGATGAATATGGGGGTGTCTCTAGTGGAGCAGCCCGGGGCAAGTCAATATCTCCTCAACAGCAGCTCTTTCCTAAGGCAAAGCTATTGGTCAACCCTACAGGATTGTTGTAAAGACTGCTGATCACAGGCCAACAAGTTTTAACGCACTGCTTGCGGGCACACCAATCCATCGAACACAGCCTTCCCCCCCGCGCTCTTCCTTACAATTGTGGTTTGAGCAATGAGCCGCCCACTCTTTGAGACCCCCCACTCGTCATCATCTCTTTCTCCAGGACTGCACTTCCTTCCGAGTTTAAGACTATACAAAAATACCGAAATCGGTGCTGTCTTATTAACGTGCCCAGAAGTCTCCACCCTCTCCCCACCGCCTCCCCGTGTCGGGGCTGTTTCCACACAGCGAAGGGACCCCCGCCTGAGAGGAAACGGGTGGTTTGTCTGAAGCGGCAGAGCTCGAGGAGTTGACCGGGACCCCTGACTGGGCAGGAGGGAGCCGCGTTCTCGCCCCTTTCCCCCCAACGGAGCGACGGCTCCCGCCAAGCCCGACCCCGGGGCTGCGCGCGCACCTGCTCACTCACCTCGCGCACGGGGACACCCCAACGGCGAGGGGCACGGAGGGAGCGCAAGCAGCCCACGGAGCCCAGAGGCTCCCGCTTCCCTATTGGCTCAGGCGCCTACCGCCGGGCTTCCACCACACTTCCCATCTTGCCCGTCGCGCGTCGACGTGGTTTTGCGTCACCGTCGCGCAAAGTGTTTTGAAACAAAAACGCGGAAGAACAGATTCTCTGTTGCTACAGCAACTGCAGGAAGTGTGGGGGAAGGAGCATGCGCAAAGCGGAACGCCCGCTCGCTTTTGTTTTGATTCGTTTCCTTCCGAGACCCATATAACTGCCTCAGCGATCTTAGGGAGAGAAGGTTGTGACTCCCAGGAACTTCAAAACAGCGCAGAATTACGGAGTGTGTGTGTGGGACAGCTGGAGCCTTCCTTCACTAATAATAAATTTCAAGCATCCCCTGGAGTTGCCAACTAATTCCAGCTTCGGAAATTCCTGTCGGTTTGGGGCAGTGCTTTGACAAGGGGCCCTTTGTGGGTGGATGAGCTCAGCGGATACGTAAGGCAATAGAGTCTAACCTACAAAACTTCCATTTCCCCCAGAGAACTGTTCTCTGGCGATCATTTGCAAGATTTAAAGGACCCTCCAGCTAATCGGTGGGCCATGTATTCCCTGCCAATCAGCTGAAGGGCTGTAGTGGTTAAGTGCTGGGACTCTAATCTGGGAGAACCGGGTTTGATTCCCCACTCCTTCGCGTGCACCTGCTGGATGACCTTGGGCATAGTTATGATAAGAGCTGTTCTTGAAAAAGCAGTTTCTGTCAAGAGTTCTCTCAGCCCCACCTACCTCACAGGATGTCTGTTGTGGGGAGGGGAAAGGAAAGGAGTTTGTAAGCTGCTCTGAGACTCCCTTGGGTAGTGAAGGGTGGGGTATAAATCCAATCTCCTCTTCTTCAAATCTTGCAGGAGGGGCGGAGAGGGAGTGTACCACCCCCCGCTTCTTCTCAAAAGCACTTTAAGGATCCCTTTATATGCTTTTGGGAAGAAGCGGTGGATTTAAGGAAGGGGGCAGAGCCCCCAATAGCCCCACTAAAGCTACAGGTTAGAGAAACAGTCAAAGGTCTAGCACAGCATCTGACCACCAGTCATAACACCAGCTTGGGCAACTGCTCTGCCTCAAGGGAAGGCCATGCCTCACGGAAATGGGAGTGAAAAGATGCTCAGCGGTGGCCTCCAACATATCCAAAATGGAGCTTAAGCATCAATAGTATTAACTAATTTGGAAGCTACCACACAGGCAATTGCAGCAAGCAACTGGAGAATTTGCTTCCATAATCCTGCCCCAGTAATTATCCCTTTTCCTGCTAATCTGCCCATCGTATGTTTTGAGAGTTAACAGCTTTTGCTCCTTAAAACTAGAGGTGGCTTATAAATTAACCTATTTAGGTCTTCAATTTTAAGGATCCTATTTCCATCCATAGGATCATAGAGTTGGAAGGGATCTCCACGGTCATCTAGTCCAACCCCTTGCACAATGCAGGAAATTCACAGCTACCTCCCCCCCACAACCCCCGTGACCCCTGCTCCGTGCCCAGAAGCTGGCCAAAACAAAAACAAACCCTCCAGGATCCTTGGCCAAACTGGCCCAGCCACAGTAAGGGAGAAGGCAGGGCTTGGCTTCCTTTACCTCCACTATTTATATTCATACTCCACATTAGATATGAGGGAATAAATGTGCATCTAATAAATACACACACAACCAATGTCTAGTTTAACCCAGTCGGGGATGGCAGCATGAGACAGTAGAAAAGAGCAAGGGTCCAGTAGCACCTTAAAGACTAACAAAATGAGCTTTTGTGAGTCACTGCTCACTTCTTCAGATACAGCTAGAATGTGAGTCCATCTGTGATTTCAGATGCCAAATGACATTAGCAGGCAAATGACAATAGAACATGTGACTGGATTTGGTATGATATGCAGAGAGGTAGTCGGCATGGAGAAATCAGTATGAGACAGCTATCAACATAAAACCAAGTGGAACTTCCCTATACTATGATAGGTAAAGGTAAAAGTTTCCCTTTCTCGAAAGCTAGTGAAATCCGACTCTAGGAGGCGGTGCTCATCTCCGTTTCCGAGCCGAAGGGCCAGCACTGTCCAAATGACTAAATGCCGAGGTGCACGGAATGCTGTTCTTCCCACCAAAGCAGTAGCTATTTATCTACTTGCAGTTTCTTGCTTTCGAACTGCTAGGTTGGCAGGAGCTGGGGCCAGAGACGGGAGCTCACTCCTTCACATGGCACTAGGGTCTTGAACTGCCGAACTACAGACATTTCAGTCTGCAGCTCAGCGTCTTAACCTCTGAGCCACCACGGCATACAAGGATAGTACACTCATAAAATATCAGATGTAGCAGGGCAGCTGAGTCAGGGCAAAAGGAGAAAACAGACATTTCCTCAAAAAAAAGAGGACTATCCTCTGAAACAATGGGGAAAAAACCCACCCACATCTGACTATGTACCACAAGAAGTTCCCAATTTCTGGACATTTGGAAGTGAAGCCAGGGGACCTCAGCAGGATATAATGACACAGAGTCTACCCTCCAAAGCAGCCTTTTTTCTCAGGGCAACTGATCTCTGTAGTCTGGATATGAGTTGTAATTCAAGAAGCTCTCATATCCTCAGTGATATGAGCTACAGATCCTTATATTCACAAATTATTTGGGGAATATGGAGAACAGAGAAAAGGTCAAAGTGGGTAGGGATGAAGAGATACATTGGGATTTATTTAGAGGAAAAGCCAAGGCTGAAGTAAGTGGTAATCCTTTCAGAATGTCTTTAAATGTTAGAGACTTTTTGAAAATTGACTCATCTGTTTAATCATAAATGAAACCTTGATATTCATAATGGCACTGAACACCGACTTTTCATTGCAAACAAATTTAAATTTATAAAGAAGTGCCAAAATTCACCAAAACTAAACAAAAAGCGTTAACAATAATGAAAGAAAAGTGACTACAGGTTGCTTATGCACCACAACAATATCTTGTTAGGTCATTAATTTCCCATATGACTAGCATATTTAGAAATAGTAATAAACATAAAGAATACGGGAATTGGCTGACTATACTGCAGTGGTCTGGCTGGTTACGTGCACTCATCTTGGAAGCGTATTCAGAACATGGCCCCACTATAATTCACATGGAAATTCTTCAGTGCATATGGTGAAAGGAATGACTTTGCAGCAACAGACAACCTGGCTTAAGCCATCCATTATTTTTCGTCTACTTTCATTGCTTGGGGGCTCCGGCTTTGGACTTGAGAAGTCTTGTATGTAGGAAGAGGTTAAAGAATGAGGAGATGTCTTCTGAAAAATTCAGTTTTCCTTCAGTATTTCATTTTTTAAAATGGAATATCCATATATTGCCCAGTTTGTTTTCATTACGGCTAACAGAAGTAAACAAATAAACTCCAAAGGCTTCAATCCAGGTTTTAAATATACATATTTTCAAGTTCAGCCAAAAAGACCTTTGCTTCCTCCTCCCTTTGATTTTTTAGAAGTCCTAACATGAGGAGCAGGTCCCTGTGAAGTTCCAAACCATTCTGGTAACTTCCTTTTTGAAGGCTGACTTAAGATCTAAAAAAAAGGAGGAGAAAAAAACAACAGTTTTTAACTTCACAAACCATTTTTTCCACACATACTGTTTGGATTCCTACTAACCTGACTTTACTGAGGACATCGCTAGCCACCGTCCTCCAAAGGAGGACTCAAAATGGCTAACAGCAAAGCCTAAAAACAAACCAACTGACAATAAATAATAACCATCACTTTGCCATTCGTAGTGGGAGTAACAGTTGTTGGGTGGTGCCACGTAGTGCCCTCCGTGGTGCCACGTCTTCCCCTCATGTTTGCCAAGCTCTCCAGAAGGTGCATGGGGCCATTTGTAAGGCACGGGTTATTAGGTGGCTACCCTCATTCAAATGAAACTGCTTTCCCCTGGAGGATCAGGAAGACTGGTAAGCACTTGGGCTTTCCTTAAGTCAGTGTTTGGTTCCGTTCCCTCTTCAGGTTTTTCTTTTACCCAGGAAGTGTGAAGAGGGAGGAATTCTGTTTGGCTCCGCCTCCTGCAGCAGCCATGTTTGGGTTTGGCTCTGCCTCCTGTGGCAGCCACTTTGGGGGTGGCGCTCAGCCAATGTTCCCTCTAAGATGTGGAGTCTTGTGAGCAAAAATTCTGCTTTGTGAGCTACCAGCATTAAAGTTGTGAGCGAGCGATCTGGCTATTGCATAAATCAGTTTGCTCTGGAGCCATCCCTTCCTGAGCTAAGACAAAAAGGTGTGAGCCGGAAGCTAAAAAACTGTGAGCTAGCTCACACCAACTCAGCTTAGACGGAACACTGGACTGCTCACCACCCCGTCTCACAATTCCAAAGGTGTCTGCAGGGTCAAAAAAGCTTGGGGACCCCTGAGATAATGCAACACAGAGATGTGTTGTGACGTGTAGTTTGGACCTAGGAGGTAGCCCAAGCCTAACGCGTTATCCTTACGCCATCCCAGAAATAGCTTAACGTCTCTCTGAAGAAGTCCCCGTAGCATGCCAGCCTGCATAGGTTTGACATATAAGAGTCTGGGAAGGCTGTCTTCCCTAAATTCTCATTTGCCACTCAACAGACTCTTCCCCAGCCAACTTAGACATCCATCCATAATTTCCTTAGACACAATGCTGGTAGCAAAATGGCGCCCAAGCCAGATGCCAATTCCAAAACACAGCTGAGGCCATGAACGCCTTTGATTAGACCAAGAACTGATTTGCTATATAATGACATTTTTTAAAACAAGGCGATGAGACACATCCTCCAGCTATAGCAGCATCTGGTTTGTAAGCGTCACCAATGAACATCTTTTGAACACTGATCTTGCCTAATCCTGTGGCAGCTGATTTATGGCCTACGTTTAAACAGAGGTGTCAAACTAATTTGTTACAAGGGCCGGATCTAACATAAATGTCACTTTGTCAGGCCGGGCCGAGTGTGCCGTAAAATGTAATGCCAGGTACCAGAGATATAAACTTTATAAAGGACACAGGCAAACCTGATTAAGGAATTGATTCCTTGCAGTGAAAGCAATTGATTTAGTGGGGAACCCACAAAAGCCTGGGTCTCCCAGGTCCCCCCACCCCCAGTTTTCATCCCTCCTGCATTTCCCACAGAAGCGGTGGGGCTGAGGGGAAGGCCTGACAGAGAGCCTGTTTCCAAAACCTCCAGGGGGTGCTTTTTGTCCACCCGTGATCTCTTTTCCCTCATGGGCTGAGAACAGCACCAGTTGCTCACGGACTGGATAAGAGTCCTGGAAGGGCCAGTTCCGGCCCATGGGCCGTCTGTTTCACACCCCTGGCCTACAGTTTACCTGTGACTGGGAATCTGTAAAGAGGTCTTCCTCCTCAGGGTTGAGTGGAGGCTGATTCCATGATGCTAATTTGATAGAGCTCTGATGGCTCTGGACCTCCTGCTTGATGACGTTAGGGAATGGCTCTTCGCTGCTGCTCTTTGCCTTTGAAAGAAAGGAGAAAAAAAGTGAGATATTCCACTTTTAAAACCATTTAATCTATGCCACCAGAACCAGAAGAGCATGTTCCTGAAAGCTGGGCTATAGAATGAGAATGCCAATCCAAGACTAGCTGGAAAATCTAAATTAAATCAAAGTAAAATGAAGCTGAAACTCATTGTACCAGTTACCCTCCCCAAACCATTCAGAAACGGATACTTGTTCAAATCACAGTGGCAAGATTATTAAAGAGATCTGTCACACCGAAAGCGCCTGCCAGTGGGAAAAGGAACCGCGCTGGCTTCCAGTTTGTCTTCCCGGTGCCATTCAAAGTGGCAGATATGACCTACGAAGCACTAAATGCCTTGGGTAGCTGAAGGTCCGGCTTCTGTCCACATGAATCTACCCGCTTGCTCAGATCATCACCAGAGGCCCTGCCAGGGGCCCTCCCCCGCTTTCTGACTAGATGGGGGCAGAACGGCGTCTTCGAAATGCACCCCCACCCCCACCCCCACCCTTTGGCAGCAGCAACGGAGGTGAAAGGCGGCAGCGGCGAAAAACAACAATGGCGGCTGATATCCGGATGACCAAGACCTGACGGAAGGCGGAGCGAACGCAGGGTGCGAGATGCAGGCGAAGCGGACGCAGGACGGCGCAGCCCGGCTGGAGCCAGAAGGACGTGAGCCGGAAGCTGCAGCCGAAGAAGCAGTCGCGCGCAAAAACACCGAGCCTCCGGGAGAAGGTCGCCGGGCAGCCAGAAAGAAGCCAGAAAAATGACAACATGTGGACCCCGCCGGGAGAAGAGAGAAGGCGCTGCCAACCGGGTGTCGATAGGGAAGTCCCTCCCCTTGTGAAATGTGGCCCTAGGTAGGTCTAATCACTACTATATAGTAGTAAGTCTGTAAACCGCTCTGAGACCCACTAGGGGTTATGGGCGGTATATAAGCCTCATGTAAATAAATAAATAAAAAAATAGAAACGTTTGCTTCACACCGACATTGGTATCGTTTAGACATCAGGAGAAGACTATTTCATCCTCTTGGGAGGAGTGTGACCCTGCTGGTTCTGCTGGTTCTCTGAGAGGTTTTCCATATCGGCACTGGGACTAAGGGGCACTGTGTTATGGTGGTTCAAGTCCTATTGCGGGGGTCTCAGGTGGTGGTGCTCGGGGGTTCCTGCTCTACCCCCTGTCCGTTGACCTGCGGGGTTCTGCAGGGTTCGATCTTATCCCCCCACGCTATTTAATATCTACAAGAAGCCACTGGGAGAGGCCATCGGGAGGTTTGGGCTGCGGTGTCGCCCAGCTCTACCTTTCTTTCCCACCTAATCCCAAGGATTCTGTTGATGTTCTGAACTGGTGCTTGGAATCAGTAATGGGCCGGAGGAGGTTCAAGAAACTTAATCCCGAAAAGACAGAGGTTCTCAGGGTTAGTAGAAAGGCAGACCAGGGACTTGAGACTGCCCCTGTCTTGGATGGAAAGCCAGGTTAGCAGTTTGGGAGTGCTGCTCAACACAGAAAACCAGGTGGCTGTCATAGTTAGGAGTGCTTCTGCCCAGTTGCAGCTGGTGCACCAGCTGCACCTGTTCCTGGATCACTCTGATCTAGCCACAGTGATCCATGCCGTAATTACACCTACACTGGACTACTGCAATGCTTCTACTTGGGCTACCCTTGGAGAGGGTTCAGAGGCTGCAGCTAGTACACAATGTTGCAGCTAGACTGCTGGTCGGGTCCAGTTACAGGGATCATGTGACCCGGATGCTGATGCTACATCAATTACACTGGCTTCCCATCTGCTCCTGAGCCCCATTGAAGGGGACCTTTAAAATCCTACATGGCTTGGGACCATAGTGTCCGAAGGGCCATATTTTCCCATATGTTCCTGCCCGGGAACTAAGATCACAGGGAGAGATTTGCCCGCTTGACTGTCCCATCGACCAAAGAAGCCTGTCTGGTGGATACACGAGAGCGGGCCTTTTCAGTGGCAGCCCCACAGTTAGGGAACAGGCTCCCCAGGGAGGCGCACTTGGTCCCCCTCACTCATGATCTTTAGGAGGCACCTGAAGATAATCGTACTCATGACAGCTTTTGATTAGTTCTTCTACCTACCAGCAATTTTATTATTGACTTTTAAAAGTGGTTGTTATGTATTTTGTTATTATTATTTACATTTTAGAAAGGTGTGTAATAAATGTTTAAAATAAATAATAAGTTAGGTTGAGAATGCACAGCAGCTTCCGTAGCAGAGTGGGGATTTGAATCCAGATCTCTTGGATCCTAGTCCGAAACTCTAATCCATGTCACTACAGTGGTTTAAAGAATAATTTAAGAGGTGGCTACCCAAGATGGAGAATCTAAAGATGAGAGATCTTGCTTTATACTTTCACGGGACGCAGAACTAGGTTTGTAGACAGCTGGCTTAACAGATTCTCCCTAAAAATAAAAATAATAACATTCTATTAATACACTTGCTTGAGCTACTTTTTCTTCTGCCAAATTGTGACAGTCTTTTCCACACACAGGGCCAGTTATGGAGTCAGTGAATAAAAAAGCTGAGGGGAAAGAAAGACCTAGCCCCACTGGCAAGCCTGCCTATTACTCCACATGGGTAGCTGAGGGAATGGAGTTTCTAGAGCTCCCCTCTTATTATGCAGCTAAGCTGATTTTCCGATCACATTAAGTTGTGGGCTATTAAACATTTTCACCATCTTGCATTATACATGTAAACAAAATAAATGAAACCTGCTCTAATAGCATAGCAAAATTACTTTTGTGTAGTTAGCATTACATAGTCATCGTATTACAAAGCAACTGTAATATGCCCGTAAGCATGACGGCTATACCAGCCAAGTCAGAATTTACGGTCATTCTACTGCTAGCAATGGGAGTTCCTCATTGCTACCACTAGGTGCTGCTGTGGAGCTATGCATGTGGAAGATTTTTTAATTATTACATTTTATTCCACTCGGCTTCGGAGGAGGTCAAACCAGTATCCACGTTCCCCCTCCCCAACAATGACCCCACGAGACAGGTTTAACCAAGAGAACACGAGTGGGGCCACGGCATGCAGGATTTGAGCTTGGGCCTTCGCAGACCAAGTCCAATGCTCCAGTCTGTCCATTACACCTCACTGGCCCAGTGTTTAAACTTAAAATATAAAATTACAAGCACAAGGATTTGCAGGGGGAATCTCATTTCCCCCTCCCCTGTTATTTATTTCCCTTCCATGAGAGCCCCCATAGCCTTTTCTGCCTTCCTTCTCTCCTTCCCATCCACTAGCCAACTTACCTTTATCTCACCTTCCCCGTCTCCAGCTTTTCCACCTTCCCTCCCCCTGCGAGCCTCTACCCGGGAAAACCATGGCCCAGCTGTAATGGTGCCTGCTGCCTGGCCCAGCTGCAGAATGGGGAACCCACAAGCACTTGCGAGAGGGAAGCACCTCATTTACCTCATTGGTTAACTCATCCTCCAAAGCAGCCATTTTCTCCAGAGGAACTGATCTCTGTAAACTGGAGATTATTGTTATTCTGGAAGGTTCCAGGCATTACCTGGAGGATGGCAACCCTACCCTTACCCCTGTATTCTGCTTCCCCACACTATTTCCTCTTTCCCTCCCGCTGGAAACCCTGATATCCTCACCCTTCCGTTTCCTTACCCACCAACCTTCCTACCCTTTTAGCTGCCCCTCATCTTCAGCTATATTTATGTACTTCATGATAACACTGCCTTTCTCCACAACAGGAAGCCAAAGCAGGTTACGTCATTCTCCTCCCGTCCATTTTACCCTCGCAGTAACCCTGTGAGGTAGGTTAGGCTGAGAACTGCGTGCCAGGCATAAGGTCACCCAGAAAGCTTCCATGTCTGATGGGGATTCAAACCTTGGCCTTCCAAGATCCTAGCCTGAAATTCTAACCACTGCACACCACTGGTTTTCGTCGGCTGGCTGCTGTTGAACAGTATCAACCAGCTGGGCCGGGGTGAGTCCTAGAAGTCATGTGGTATCAAGTCACCTGGTGGTTGCTGCCAGAATAGGCCCTGATGAGTCTTCACTCAAAGGCAAAAACAGCCTTGGAAGGGGCCCTGCTCTCCCCCCCCCCCCCCCCCCTTTATCGCCAAGGCTTCAACTAGCAACATTGCTATGATTGCCTAGCAATGGCCACAGATGGCATCTGTTTCTTGGTGTTGCTTCTGTTGTTTTTTTTTGGGGGGGGGACTCCCCGGTTTTGTTTTATTTGTTTTTTATTTCAGATTTTTCTGAAAACCCAGGCTTTCTAAGGCCGGTAGAAATATCTTTGTCTTTTCATGGCTCCAGTCTCTGGATTTATGTATCCGCATATTTGGCCATGTTGCGAATTGCATGTACTGATGATGATGTTTATAAAATAACAGAGCGAAGAAGGCAATAACTAGCAGAAACAAGCATTTCTAATATACTGCCCCACACTTACTTTTCACACATACACACACAGCAAACTTTGAGATGGTAGATCAATTGACTGAAAGTTTAATTAATACTCAACGAGACCAATTTTAAAACAGTGCAGCTACATCTAAAGGGCATATTTTGAGGCCATTTTGGTCTTTGTGAGTCAGTGCAGTAGTTAAGAGTGCTAAGTAGGGTTGCCAGGACCCCTCTTCACTCTGGCAGGGGAATTTGGGGGGCGTTCTAGGGGTGGCTGGGGACATCAGTCAACGTCACTCAGAAGTGGCATCATCATGTCAGGTAAGTCATATGGAGGGGCGCTCTGGTATTTAGGAGAAATGCCCTAAAAACCACAGAGTTTGCCCAAATACCAGAGCGTCCCTGACATGATGATGTCACTTCCAGGCAGGGGTCATTTCCTACGGGAGCGCATAGGAGCAGAGCTCCGACAGTAAGGAGCCCAGGGGGCGGCACATGCAACAAGCCCCCCTCCCTGCTCCCAGCAGCCCTCAGGCAGGCCACAAGGAGCAAGACGCAGCCAGGTAAGTTGCAGAGCCCCCCCCCGGCCCGCCTTCAGGTACAAGCTCTCCCTCCTCTGTGAGGGCAGATCTGCACGTCCCCCCCTCAATAGCTAGCAATCCAAAACAGTCCAGTGGTACCTTTAAGACCAAGTTTTATTCAGGTACAAGCTCTCCCTCCTCTGTGAGGGCAGATCTGCACGTCCCCCCCTCAATAGCTAGCAATCCAAAACAGTCCAGTGGAGCCTGAGCGGTGGGCGTTGCCTTCTGCCACACTTCCGGTGATGTCAGGGGGTGTGGCATATGCAACTAAGTTATGCTAATGAGTTCCTGAACCTCTTTTTCTACGAAATGACCCCTGCATACAGGTGACATTATAGCATCACGGATGTCGCACTGCAACGCTCCTGTTTAGAGGTGGGGTTTTCCCTGCTGGCCAGCTGGTCGGCGACGGGGAGAAGCCCCTGAAATCCAGGGACCCGCCACCCAGACCTGGGGGCTGGAAAGCCTGGTGCTGAGCTTAGTTCAAGGAGGCCCAGTTTCAAATCCACACTCTTATCACCAACCTCCCTGGGTGACCCTGGGCCACCTGCTGCCTCTCAGCCTAACCTACATTTCAAGGGGTTCTTGTGAGGATAAAATGGGAAGGAGATGAGGTCACAGGAAAAGGAGGGGATGAAAATGAGAGATAAAAATAGTTAAGTAGAGGCATCACTAGTGATGGGGGGGGCAAAGTCCTATAGGGTGGGTGTGTAAGCAGAACTCCCCCAGACCGATTGCCCAGCTTTCAGGATCTGGGGTTGTGGGGGAGGGTGTTCCCCTACTCTGTAGTCTTTGTGTCCTGGCTTGGAGTGGGCATAGACTTCTCCACCCACGAGCAGCCTCAGCACCCTCCATTCAGTGCGGCAACCCAACGTGGGCCCCTGTTCTCACTGTGCAACTGCCCTCCATACTGAGGAGAGAACAGCATCCAAATTCCTCCTCCCAGAGAACGTCTCCATGCTTGTTGGCTGCAGTGAAGCAGCCGGGGGTACAGATGGGCCCTCAAGGGGAACAAGCTGGAAGAATATGGAGTGAAGAACTGCGAGAATCGCCAAACCAAACTCCGTTGCTCTTCGTTCCTTTCTTGCAAGATTAGTCTCGAAAAGTTCCCTCTTACTTTGTTTTGTAACTTTACAAACCTTGGCTTCAATCCACACAATCTTCTCTTCATTCTTCTGCACCGATCCCGTCCTTGACTGCAGCCATCGTGATTCTTGAGGTAGCTTTTGTTTCTCTGAGTCTGTCTGGGGTACCAGCAACTGACTCTCCAGAAGTACAATGGTCATCCTTATGAGATACAGGTCAATCTTTGCAGGCACTAAAGCTCTAATGTCTTTCATTCTTGTTACATCTTGGAAGGAGAAACAAAGATTGCTAAATAAAGAAGCATGGATTTGAAACTGCTACACTTACTTTCGAATTCAAAGTTAAGAGAAGTCTGCTTTGGTAAGTGGGTTATTTATCAACCAACATATTCCATTCACTGAAGATTAACTATAACAACACTTTAAAGATCTGTGGAAAGTCAAGCTATAAATAAAATGAAGTTGCAGGTGGCAGCGTCGATCCAAAGCAAATTCCACAGAAGCCGCATAATGTTAGGACCCATCAAAATGCCACAAAACGGTGGGCAGCCTTTTGAGTTCACCATACCTCTTCGTCAGTTTGGAGTTTACAAAATTGAAAAGGGGGAGAAAGCAAAAGTATTTGGGTCATGAACTTTAAGACCTTGTCTTGACAGCATCTTCTGTAGAACACTGAACAGGCTAGCAGATTTTAAATAGTGCTTGTACGAGATGGCCTTCCTGACTTTCTAGGAGGAGTAAAAAAAACCTGAGTCCTTCCATTGGAAATATAAAAAACAGTAGCACAAATGTCTCTCAGACAAGCAGATGAGACAAGCAGATCCTTCAAGGGCTGAGCGCAGAGGGAGAACTTGGTGGCCCTCATATGAAGAATACATGAACACGCAACGTACGCAAAACTGAATCAGACTCTTGGTCCATCACAGTCAGCGCTGTCTACTCAGACTGGCAGTGGCTCTCTGGGATCTTAGGCAGAGGTCTTTCACATCATCTACTGCCAGACTGTTTCACTGGAGTTGCTGGAGACTGAACCTAGGACCTTCTGCATGCCAAGCAGATGCTCTGCCACTGAGCCATGGCCCTTTCCTGAAATGCTGGAGATAAATGTTAGTTGGGGCACTGGACAATGTTGCAAAGACAAGGTTTTAAGATCAGGGCCTGAATCATCTCCCTCCCCTTTTAATTTTTGGAATGTTCAGCCTGATATTCGGCAGAACTCAAAAACTTGCATGCAGTTCAGTGTCATTTTGGCAGGTCCTGATGAAAGGTATCACGCGGCTTTTGTTCTCAATCTGATAAATAAAATATTACGGAGCAACAGAGCTTTGGAAATCATCGCAGTTCATGCCAATCGCAGTGCGGTAAAACGGGAACCTTGTAAATGCAGATTAACCCAACACCCGAGTTCTGACCTCATTTGCACTCCATGAATGCTGATCAAATCCAAAACAATCAACTTCTTACACTCATACTCCTTGCCAAATCTGCTGCCTTCTTGCCCTCACCATGTCCCAGCCTTTCAAGGGCAGTGGAAAAGTGCCCACACATTAGCATCTACATCTAGTTTTGGCACCAGGCAACAAAAGCTAAAATTACAAAGAAATTTTCTCTTTCCTCTCTCACCCATCCATTAGAACCCAAATCCAGGAAAGCTTACGTCCAGGCCGACCCAAGGAACCCACAACAACTTTTTATTCTCAAAAAAAACTGTGCATGGGAAAAATGGTTAGCCTGAAGACAGGTAACCTGTTTACGGCTACTCAAGTTCCAGCTGAGCAAGAATTTCACACAGGAGTCCCAAGATTCTGGCCATCGTCACTGTCTCTACATCAAAGTGGACAAGCAAAAATTACATCAAACCATTTCCTGCTGCTTCCGGGGCCGTCCCCATTTTCTACAGGAGAAGCAAGAGCACAAGCCCGCTACAGGTAGGCTGTGCTGCAGTTCACAACCAGAAAATGTCCCTCAAACAGGCAGCTGTCACATGAAGCTGTCTTCTACTGAGTCAGTAATCTTCTCTATCCAAGTCAGTGTTGTCTATCAGTATTGTCTACTAGAAACCCTGGATTGGCAGCAGCTCTCCAGGGTCTCTAGCAGAGGTCTTTCCTGTTACCTGCTATCTGATCTCTTTTTTCTTTTTCTTTTTAACAGGAGAGACTGGGGATCAAACCCGGGACCTCCTGCATGCAAAGCAGATGCTCTGCTAAAGAGCCACGGCTCCTTTCCTTTCCCTAAGCTCTCACACACAACTAGAAAGGGGGGTGCCAGCTCCACTGCCATGTAACCCGTCAAACCCTACGGACCACCCAGAGACTCATGTTGGCCACACATTCAAGTAATGACAGCACATCCAAATCCCCTAAATCAGAACCAGGATCCAGCTCACATCTGGTTTCTCCAAAAAAAAAAAACCCTTCCTTTCTTAGGGAAGAGGGATCCAGGTGGCTTTGGCAGTTCCGTGATTTCGTTGTTGAAGTTAAGATAACATTTTCCCAGATGGAACAATGCTGCAGTTCTGCTGCCGCATTCATGGAGACAGACATTAAATTCTATGACTACATCATCTTGAACATGCCCAGTCTCTTCTGAACTCTGGAAGCTGAGCAGGGTCAGATATACTTGGATGAGTGAAACAGAAAAAGCCATTCAAAGGGGATGGAACAATTCCCATCTTGTCTAGTTCCAACTACGTGAAACTAAGCAAATTGAGAGGAAATAAATACTATTAAGTGGCAGGTCTTCCTTCAGTGGTTACATACGTAAGTGCTGTCAAATCACAACTGACTTATGGAGACTCCAGCAAGGGGCTCTCAGGCCAAGTCAGAAGGCAAAATGGTTTGCCACTGCCTTCAGTGGTTACCGATCACAAATATTTATTGCATCAGAACACTGGCCAATCCAGCCTAGCATCATCTCCTCTGACTAAATGCAGCTTTCTAGAAGCTTGGACAAAGGTCTTACCCAACCCCATGACCTATCTTAAGTGGAGAAGCCAGGGTTGAAATAGAGGCCTCTTACATGCAAAGTCTCTGCTCTGCCACTGAGCGACAACTCAGCCACAACAAATTCTGAACATTTCAATCCAGAAGCGGGCAGCCAAGTTTGGAGGTTTTACACGTGGGACAATTTGTTTCTCATTTTAGAAAGAGGCTCGGCATTTACAACAAAGGTGGCTTGATTATAAAAGTGCACCCAGTGCCACCGTATTAATAACAAACGTGAGCAGGTGCTCTTTGCACCTCTTTTGTCCAGGGAGAGCCCCTTTCAATGATGCTGAAGATTCCTTATTGAAGTAATCCATATTCCAACCACCCCATTCTGTTAGAAACTTATACAGAGTCCCGCTGACTCTATTAACACGTGTTTTATTCTGCTCGTCTATGACCATAATAAATGATCGATTGATTGATGTCTCACCTGAATTGATGGGAGGGCTCTGGATGACTTTGGTGATCAGCTCTTGTATCTCAGGAGTCAGACCTGCACATTCTACGTCAACTGGGTAGCCAGCTTTCAGAGCTTGGGATAAATGAGTGCCAACCACCGTAAGAGGTAAAGACCGCGTCTCACTTATACGCTTCTAAGACAACAAGAGGAGAAGGTATTAGAAAAAGCCTGACCTGTGCAACTTGACAAACCTCACCTCGGCACTTCAAATATACATCCTTGGAAACCAAAATAAACAATCTCAAGGTTGCACGGCGCATTACTCTGTTAGGTGTACAAATAGTGTTGTTGCCAACTCTGGGTTGGGAAATGGCTGGAGATTTGGGTGTGGAGCCAGGGGGAGGGACCTCAGCAGGATGTAATGCCATGGAGTCCACCCTCCAGGGCCGCCTGGACATCAGCTGTCATTTCAGGAGCCTGTAATTCAGTTGTAATCTCCAGGCCCCTTCTGGAGGTTGACAACTCTACGTACAAATGAAACATGCTTGGAAGCCCTTGGAAGCCAGGTTGGCTAAAGACCCCTGTTGAATGTACAGTCAAAGGTAAATCCAAGTTTCCTGCCATATCATTAATGGCCTTCACATACTTTTTTAAAAACCCACAGTAATACAGAGACCTTTACTGATTCTGTGAACTTAGACGGATCATGAGATGGAGGGCAGGAAGGGCCGCAGCAGTGCTTAGCTCTCGTGGCCCTTTCTTACACACCCAGGGAAAAGCTGATCACCACTTTGGGGTCAGGAAGCAATTTTCTCCAGGCCAGTTTGGCCAGGGATCCTGGAGGCGGGGGTTGTTTTGCCCTCTTCTGGGCATGGAGCAGGGGTCACTAGGGGTGTGGGGGGGGAGATATTTGTGAATTTCCTGCATTGTGCAGGGAGTTGAACTATAGATGACCCTGAAGGTCCCTTCCAACTCTATGATTCTTACTGGTGGGTTAGAGCCAAGCCCAAGATGGGTTGAGAACACAAAGCTGCCTTCTGCTGCATCAGACCACCGGTTTACCGATCTGGATACTTGATTGTGCTCAGGTAGAGGTCTTTGGCACCACCTACTATCTGATCCTTTTGTTTTTACACTGGAGATGCCAGTGATTGAACTCGGGACCTTCTGCATGCAAAGCAGCTATTCTACCACCAAGCCACAGCCTCCCATGGCGCAAGTGGTTCTACCACCAATCTTTCTTTCCCTCCTCACCTCTGTCTGTTACTAATTATTAGAGAAGCAGCAGGGGTGTGAAAGGAGAAAAAGTCATGAACAACAAAGGTGGAGGCAGAAATTGCAATTAGCTGGTACTGAATACATCGGCAGCCACTGCAAAAATCTTGGCTCAGCTGGATGAGGAAGAAAGAAACAAGAAGTTGGAGAAAGGGGCAGAATAGAAACAAAATAAAAGCTGGTCCGTGTTGAAGGTTCAGGTGAAAGGCGGACCTATTACGACATTTTGCTATAAATTAATTACTGTTCATATTCTCTCTAGTATCCATGCATTTCTGCTACAGTTCTAATTGCACATATTGGGTTTAAATGCAAGCTTGTTAAGAAACGCCTCTCCTAAATTAGTTCATTTCTTTGTGCTTGCCAAAGGAAGATAACGGTTTTACGATCTTGTTAAGCCCAAAAGTGATGGCTTATCTGAAGCCGTAAAAGCCTGGAGAACTTCCTCAGAGTAGCAGCGTCACATTTTTTCAAAGATGTCCTGGATAATTAGTTGTGCTTTGAATTATTTTGCTTTAGAGAAAGAAGAACTTGGCAGAGAAGAACTTGGCAGTAGAAGAGACAGATCTGTAAGTTTCTGATAACAAGTTTGCCAAGACTCTGGCAGACTGACGGGCTGCATCTGGCTTTACAGGCCACAAGTTGTGTAGGCCTGGAACATAGTAGTGATGGTTGCATCTAAATTATACTGCTGTGTTAAAAGTGAAAGGTTATATGTTGAGTTTATGGGTGCTGTTCAGCTGAGAGATGAATGTCAATTGCAAAGCTTTTTGGCTCTAAGTGAAAAGAGCTGTGTGCTCTATACCACCTGAGTACATTCGCTTAGGGTTCTTTTAACTTTTCTTTGCAAAACCTGGTCTCTTGTGCTTACCGCACACATGCACCTTGACAGTTATTTTCTTCCCTATAAAGCTGAGGGCAGTATGTTATGTTTGCTGACTTTCTTTCTAGGCAGGAGACACCAGGGTGCAACGCTGTAATCAATGGTTATTTGATACAAGGCATCGAATTACGTATTGCTAATTGTATTATTGCACCTGGTTAATTAGTCCGCAGGTATTTCAGATTTGTTGGCTATCTAACAAGGAACTCTCCTGGGAAGGAGGAGTCAAGCAGGAAGCAAAGCCGGCATCACTGCACCAAAGCACGTTGGGACAAATAAGTATAGCAAAGTATAGGCTTGGCCCAAAGGCGAGGGGGGGGCACATTTCAGGAAAACTTTTGATAGTTTTGCAGGGATGGCTCCAAATGGGTTGAACGCTGATCTAGGAAGCACTGCTTTCCCACAGCAGGCTTACATAGTGTTGTATCAGTGCAGTCATGGAAGCCACAGATCGGTTGGGACTGGGCATGACAGTATTCCCAGACAGAAAATGAACCAGACAAAAATGGTACCAAAGCAGGTGCAGAGAAAGCCTACGGCTGCCAGTAGAAATGAAGAATTGTCAACATTCATGTTATTTAGGAACTGTTTCATTCCCCTCCCCCAACAAAAATTAGTAAATATTCAGAACTCTGTTCCAGTTCCAAACCAGGGTTCATCACATAGCCTGTTACTTCCTATGACCACCACCAGTATGCATGACGTGACCAGCATCTAATCTGATATCTTTCCCCTAAATCAGAAGTTACTACTTTGGTCATAAACAGGGTTACCAACAGGACTTGATCCTGTCCCTTTAATCAAGGCTTAGTGTAGCTTGATCTCATCAGATCTCGGAAGCTGAGCAGGGTTGGCCCTGGCTAATATTTGGAATACCAGGGTCATGACAAGGAGGCAAGCAATGGCAAATCACCTCTGAAAGTCTTTGGCTTTGAAAACCCCATGCGGTTGCCATAAGTCAGCTGTGACTTGATGGCATTTTCCACCACCAGTATAGAAATGGACCCCTGAAGCTTTCCATGGCATGGAGGTAATTAATATCACCTGGCAGATAACCTGGTGTGAAGTCTCTGTTAAAGTGACAGGACATGTTTCTTCCAGGCAGTTGGCAAGCCTAATCATAATCCACAAAACATAGATGGAGGTCCAGCAGCTTACCAATGTCATATCCTTTTGCTGAAAAAGCATATACGTTATGTGCTCTGATTGTGTTAAAGTGCCGCGTCCACCTTCCGGCTGAAGGACAATTTGTGGTTGGGCCCTGGATCCATAAGACTTGAAGACGTCCGACTGCAAGATCACAAGAAAGATTCAGGTGTTTTTTTTAAATTGTAATAAGTGACCTGTGCTTGGAAGGAAATAGAAATATTTTCCAAAGTAGACACTACATTACAGATATACTAAAACCAACTGCTAGAACCTAAGGAGGGCTAAAAATTCAAACATTTTGAAAATGTTTTCCCCCAGGCCTACAATGTATTAACAAAATTTCTAAATTCGCACCGGTTTTATTTTTAAATTCAAGTATTTGAAAGGGTGTGTGTGTTCTTAATGCACAGTTCTATGTTCCAGCCACACAAACTGGAGAAGTGTAGGACAGCAACCGATGTTGCCATCCGAAGCAGAGTTCCTCTCTTCTAAGTCCATGAAGTCACTGAGTCAGAAGGGTGTGTGGTGGCACTTGCCAATGATGATTGTTGATCCGAGGTGTTCGGATCGGTGTACCGCACGTCCTCCATCTTGTGGCCAAACTGTCTTGTGAGCCAGGCCTGAAGATCCTTCACTATCTTGAAGATGTTTTTCCCCAAAACATTGCTTTGCAGCAGCTGCTACCACTGCACAAGGGTCTTCAGAATGTGACTGAAGGGTAAGCTGCAGCAGCCATTCCTTGTGGCTGGCTCCACCTCCTGTGGCAGCCATTACATGGCAGCCGTTTTGTGGCTGCGCCCACCACGCTATGTCAGAATTCCAACAGTGCCCAGAGACTCAAAACGGTCTGGTCCACACCACGACTGAGAGCTGCACTGACTAGAGTGCATCCGATGGCTCTGCTCTGCGGTTTCCAGTTCTCTTGCACTAATAGCATTCCGGTACCTCTGCAAGCTGCTTAGCGGACAGTTGTCTGACGGGCCAAGTCATACCTAACATGAGGGTGACAGGGACAGGATCCCTACTAGGACAAGAAGTCTGGCAACCCCAATTCGTGCTTTCAGAACTTAAGTCCACAGAAGCTGGTTGGCAAAAGCAAGAACCATTTCACAGCTCTCCCACTTGGTGCTCGGGGGGGGGGGTAGCAGATTGGGGGGGGGGTTTCTTCCTTTTTCCCTGCTTGTTACTCACCTCTGCTGTCTTCAGGGTAGGGCTCTCATTGGGAGGGGACTGACAGGGTCCCCCATTGGCTAAATAACTGTGATCCAGCAACGGGAAGGAGGCAGGATCCTTGGGTTCGCCATCCCCCTGGATCACAGTGGGATGGAAAAACCATGCGGGCTGCATGAGAGGTAGACAGAGAACAACAGCTGCTGGGATGATCGGGCACAGACAGACAAATCCCTGTCACCGACGCAGATGCAGCCTGGTTGCACAGGAACATGAGACAGAGGGGGTGGCCCATCTCCACTGATTGGCTGGGATGGCGAAAAACTTCAGATGGGCTGATGACTTAGGGCTCCTCCCAGATGTATCTGGTGGGAAACTATATATTTGGGATCTAAATCTGAGACTCTGGGTATTCTAAAGCTCTGCTGTTCCTCACTGCTACGCCGTTACTGTAAGCCAGCTCAAGCAAGACCCTGAAAAAGCAGCATAGGAATATTCTAAGTATGTAAATAAAGCTATCATGCTTTAGTCCCAATGTATATACTGGTGTCAGTATATACGGCAGATTCCAGTGCCCCACAATATGTCATTTTACTGTGTGCCCTACTGGTCATGTGGTTAGTGCGTTGCTTTGAAGCGTGAGTTCTAGTCTTACTTTCACCTGTCGTTTTTCTGCTAATCTGATTATTGCTGGCCATAAAATACCCCCTCCCCCAATGGGGTTGCCAGCTCCGGGCTGGGAAATACCTGGAGCCTGAGGAGGGCGGGGTTTGGGGAGAGAAGAGACTTCAATGGGGTATAATGCCATAGAGTCCACCTTCCAAAGGGGCCATTTTCTCCAGGGGAACTGATCTCTGTTTTTCTGCTGTAATAGTGGGAGATCTCCAGCCACCAACTGGAGGTTGGCACCCCTATCCCCCAAATCCAGTTCCTAGGGGACAGGGGACCCTCAGGAACAGCATGAATGGGAAGCTGGAAGGCAGGAGAAACCAGCAAAAAAAGCCTCTCTTCCATTAGTGGAAATCCAACCCAGCCATTTCCCCACCTTTCCCCCTGCTGGGACTCAAATGTCTACGTACCGCTTCTCACATTGACGCTTGCCCCCAGTGAGCTATGAATATGAAGCTGTGTCTTCTCTTGAGATTGACAAGGAAACAGCCTTTGGCCTTTCATGTGAGAAGTTATTGTGACTATAACTGAGTCCCACTAAAGCTGGTCGTTGGATGGTGAATTTAAGGAATACGCAAAGAAATAAACCCCCTTGAATCAAATCACATCTGACCTGGAGATTATTGGCTTGACAGAACTCCCTGATTGTGCTCAGGAGCGGAACCAACATGGTGGATTTGGCTTCAGAAATGCCATCAACTCTCTTCACATTTTCTAAAGTTGTAGGCCTGAAGGAAACAACATTCCGAGATTTAGTGACTTTACCTTGAAGAAGGAGGAGGAGATTGGATTAATATCCTGCCCTTCCCTTGGAGTCTCAGAGCGGTTTACAATCTCCTTTCCCTTCCCCTCCCCACAACAGACACCCTGTGAGGTAGGTGGGGCTGAGAGAGCTCTTCCAAGGACTTCTCTTGAGAGAACAGATCTGAGAGAACTGTGACTGACCCAAAGTCACTCCAGCAGCTGCATAGGGAGGAGTGGGGAATCAAACCCAGTTCTCCCAGATTAGAGTCCGTGCTCCTAACCACTACACCAAACTACTTCTAAAGCAGTGATAATCATTCAGTGGCCCCAGAGTCACATACTGCTGTTTGACAAACTACCTCTGAGTCTTCTGAGTACCATTCTCCAATATGGCATCCGTCCCATGTTGCAGGAAAGTGGAGAGGGCCATTGCCCAGTGTGGCTTGTGGTCAATAGCAGGCTCCCAGCCTGAAACAGCTTCTATAGGAGGGACTGGAAGAAGTCAAGCTGTGAACCTCCCTGAGGGGCATGCCTTGTGCTTAGGATGGAAGTAAAGCACACATCTTCTCCAACAGCCCCACCCCACCCTTCTCCGCAGCCTCCTACTTAGGAGAACAAGATGGCCACAGAGAAGAGGCAGCAGAACCACACCACAGCAGCCATCTGGGGAAAGAGCAAGATGGCCACAGAGGGTGGTGGTGGTTTTACACTCCTTTCCTCCGTGGCCATCTGGCCCTCCTCCCAGCACTTTGGCTTCTGCCACCTGAGCTGCTGAGCCTCACACTGGAGAGAGAGAGCAGGAAGGCAGAGAGGGGAAGCCCCTTCCCATCCCTCCAAATACACAAGGGCTGGCTAAGGTTCAACAGTAGAGACAACTCTGCATGCACAGAAGTAATCTTCATCTGGTACTTTTAAAATTATATGTTTAGTAACAATACTTTATCTTCGATTCTTGAGTGTGTGCGTGTGTATGTTGGGTGGGGAGACACACAGGGCAGACTGTAGACATGTGGCTTTTCTGGATGAGATGGTTAGACAGTGTTAGCGATGCAACGGACATGAAGTTGAGCAAACTCCAGAGGACGGCGGAGGACAGGCGGGCCTGGGGTGATGTGGTCCATGGGCTCGCGAAGAGTCGGACTCGACTGTGCGACTGAACAACAAAAATGGCAAACGCAGCTTTCCATGAGCCATGGAGGAAGCACCACTGCTCTAAAGTATGGTGGCGGAAAGTGTCATCAAGGCGTAGCCAATTTAGGGCCACCCCATAGGGTTTTCAAGGCAAAAGAGGAACAGGGGTGGTTTGCCACTGCCTGCCTCTGCATGCAACCCTGGACAAAAGCCCCCTAAAAAGGACATGCACCCAAGAAGAGTGTGCAAGTACTTCCTGGAGAAGCTGAAAACAGGCAGGTAAATGAAGCGGAAGAAGTGGGAGCTACGTAGTACAATCCATTAAACAAGATGATGGTAGATGGCTTTAAATAAGATTCATGGACCTGTGTGGGCTGGGTCTCAGGTAAATGGTGTTAGAGCACCCAGTCTTTCACCTGGAACTCCTGCCTGTAGAGAACACAAAGCTTTAAGAACTGCAGGGACAGCAGGAGTGAGGTTAATTGGGCTGTCCTTTGGCTCACCTAGATCTGCTCAATTGTCCTCAATGCCCCGCACAAAATGACGCGAGACTTGCAGCCTAACTACAGGTGCATCATGTGTGCCTGCACGTTGCACACATCCACAGCCAATACTGAATGCGGCAGCAACCTGCCACGGGGGGCACTTCCGTGCTAGCGTGCCTGCTTAACAGAAGCAATGGGCAAATTCAAACACAAGAGCCACATGATTTATTTGACCATATCTCGCTAGCACGGAGGGATATAAAAAGCCAATTTCATTAGCAGTTCTTTAAAAATCCTGCCAAATAAAAGATGGATGCAGAAGTTTACTAGCTGGAAGCGATCACATCAAGTACAGAGGAATTATGTTTCGGGGCAGCTCCCCAATCCACGGCCGTTGCGTATGTCTAGCTTTTCCATTCTCAGTTGGAGACGGGTGATACTTTGATAGCTTCCCCCCCCCACTCCACCCCCACCCAGCCTCAAAGGAGGTATGGACAGCACCCACTGCCTGTACTGGCCGTTTTCCCTGTCCCACTACCATCTCTGGTTCAACAGATCTCGTATGTTTCATAAGGTTTCATCTCGGATGAATTATTATTTATTTCCTTCAGTTATACCCCGCCTTTCTCTCCAAATGGGGGCCCAGAGCGGCTTACAGCATTCTCCCCTTCTTCATTTTATCCTCACAACAACCCTGTGAGGTAGGCTAAGGTGAGAGTGTGCGACTGGCCCAAGGTCACCCAGTGAGCTTCCGCGGCAGAGTGGGGATTTGAACCCGGGTCTCCCGGATCCTAATCCAAAACTCTGAGTCTACACACCACACAACAACGGCTCCGTCATGCCACTCTAACCTTTAAAAAAAAACACACCGCTTTCTTTCTGTAGTGTAAACTGACCCTTCATAGAAGCAATCAGCTTATATTTATTTTAGCTGAAAGAAAAACTTACCTTATCAGGGTCAAATCTACCAGCACTTTGTTGGTTGCTAAAATGGCAGGAGGGATGTCCTTCTCACTGGCTAGTTTTTGCCTGGCTGCCACTAACTTGCCATAGAGAACCGTCTGTTAAAAGACAAAAGACAAGCCTTCAATTATTTGGTTTACTGAAACACTTTGCATTTGACTCAAGAAGGTTTAGACAGAGGCTTGGGTTTAAGAGTACTGGAAAACATTGAGACGGCAACATCTAGATGATGGACTGGTCAATCCAATTAAGCATTTTGTGTTTAAGAATGTGGACCCCACCAACTAATTACGCAAATGCTCCCCTATACACTGCGAGGACTGCCTTTCTAAGATGCTCCCCTATACACTGCGAGGACTGCCTTTCTAAGATGGCACCTATGGTAAGGATTTATGCTTTTTTCTCCCCTTCTGAACTAGCTATTTTTACTCAAATGCAAACGTATAACTACAAACCAATTGATTGACGCCCATACAGTTTTACACTAAGATTTCTTTAACTGGATGACACGTGAATAAGCTTGCAAGCCTCATCAATGCGAAAATGGAAAGCTGCCTTACATCAAAACCGTTCGGTCCTGTCTATGACTGCCAGCAGCCCCTCAGGTTCTTGAGCAGGGAGAGATCTTTCCCAGTACCTCCTGCTGGAGATCCTTAACGGCATGCAAACCACGTGCTCTTCCCTCATGTCAAAGCTCTTTCAGCTGATGTACTCACCTGTAATTCCTTCTCCCTTGGAGATATAACAGGTTCTGTAGGGGTCCAGGGCACAGGAGGCAGTTTAGCCGGTGACTGCACTGGGGCACTACCAAAGGAAAGATAAGCACACATTCTAATTTCTGTCCAGCCAGTATAACTTGGTAGCGGACAAAAAAGAAATCTCCCTCATTCTTAGTATTATTATCGTATGGCATTGTGTAGAATAGCCAGGAGATCCTAAGATTGTCTGGCAGCCAGAAGTTCTAGCTCTTTTAGCATTATGCACCACTAGGTGGCGAGCCAGACTTGTTTTTAAGCTAAGAGATGTTTCAGAGGTGATTTTGCCATTAACTATCTCTGTGTCATGCCCCTGTTGTTCCTTGGAGGTCGCACTTCCAAACACTAGCCAAGGCCGACCCTGCTTAGCTTCCGAGATCTGACAGGATCGGGCTATCCTGGGCTATCCGGGTCAGGGCAATCTCCCAGTGGAAATCTTGCCACTAAGGGACAAGATTCAAAATCTGAAGGTCCACCATACGGTGTAATCTTTAGTAGGACAACCTACAGTTCAGGTGCCAAGGAGTTTGCGGCATATATAGACAGGAGCCAGAGAGTCTGCAGACTCTATATGCCAGAGAGTCATTCTACCCTCCTAACATATTTTAATGTTAATTAACCAAAAGCTTAGATATATAACCAGCAAGGACAAATTACAACATTCAGAGCTGTATAGTGGCGTCTCTTGGAGATAATTTTGGCTCTGGTGCATTACTGTTAACAAGGAATGGCAGAAGAAGATATTTATCACTGGATTGCATCCAGCGACTGATGGAAGAAGACTCCCTGTTCAGTGGAAAGGGTGATTAAATCAAGCCATTTGAGGGGCAGTATGCATTTCTCCAGCAGTAACTTACCTCACACCTCCTTCAGCCTCTCAGCAATATACCCATGAGATTTTAGCAGTATATAAATATAAATAAATAATAGATTAACCAACGCAAAGGGAAATTAATCTAATTGAAAAATCTTAACTTAGTTCAGAGCCCTGATTCTGAGAACCACCACCTAGTAGAACAAATTTAGAGTCCAGGGGCACCTTTAAGACCAACAAAGGTTTATTCAAGGTGTAAGCTTTCATGTGCAAGGCACACTTTTTCAAATACATTGGAATGGTAGATGAGGTCCTAACATTCCAATGCATTTGGAAAAGTGTGCCTTGCACACGAAAGCTCATGCCTTGATTAAACCTTTGTTGGTCTTAAAGGTGCCACTGGACTCTAAATTTGTTCTACTGCTTCAGACCAACACAGCTGACCATCTGGATCCATCACCTATTAGAGAATGGGTGTTCTTACACGAGAGTATCCCACTTATAGCGGCTGACAGGATGGGGGGGGGAGATGGGGAGAGACGGAGGAAAAGAGAAGGAAGACAATTTTAGGAAATACCTTGTATTTGGAAGCGCACTCCCTCTAGAGACTTTACTTGCTTCTCGATAGGAGAACATTTCGTGCAAAGATGTCTTCTCAAAAATACAAAATCATGATGATAGAAAGTTAATACACACACCCCAAAGGATACTTGGAACAAATATCACCAGTACTTGAGTTATTTAGTTATTAGAAATTTTTTTTAGTCACTGTTCACCCAAGGGGTCTTGCGGCGACTTACAAAACAACATAATAAATAAGCTAAAACACCAGCAAGATCAAATAATACATATGCAGTTAAAACACGTGACTCAGCACCGTACTACTATCAAACCAGCCCAGGGCATCTGGTTGATCTCCAAACGCCAACCTGAACAAGTCGGTCTTACAGACCCTGCGGAAACTCAGCAAGTCCTGCAGGATGCGGGTGTCATCAGAGGGTGCATTCCACAGGGTAGGGGCCATCACTGGGAAAACTCTTCCCCTAGTAACGGCTAAGCGAACCATTCGGTAAAAGACTGTCAGCCATAATATTTCAGAGGAATATGAATGATCTTACAAATGAGGTCATTACAAGGATATTTTTAGTTTTCAGTATCAGGAAATAATTTGGGAAAGGTAAGGCTTATCTTCAATTGCCTTTTTCAAAAACAACCTTTACAAATGGGACAGTGTGCGGACCAATGCTCCCTCTAAGCTGTGGAGTCCTGTGAGCAAAAATTCTATTTTATGAGCTACTGGCATCAAGCTTGTGAGTGAGCAATTGGGCTGCTGCATAAATTAGTTTTCTCCGGAGCCGTCCTTCCTGAGCTAAGATAAAAACGTGTCAGCCGGAGGCTAAAAAACTGTGAGTAAGCTCACACTAACACAGCTTGGAGGGAACATTGGTGTGGACATAACATGGGTTTCCTTAGAGCCATTAAGAAATCAGGAATTAGCTTCATGGAACATACCAGCCCTCCTCATATAACCCCTTCCTCACATGAATTCCACAGTTCTTGCTGTAACTGTAGTCAAGCCATTTGCTCACATGGATGTCCATCACAATTCAAACCACAATTTCACGTAACCCTGATTAATCCTAATCATTTCCTTGGAAATAAGATCTGTTTTATTTAATGGGGCTTACTTCCAGGAAAGCTTCCTTAGGATTTCAGCCTTAAGTAGGTGCTGATGTTCAGAAAGGAGGGGAAAGTCGTCGCACAGAGGGGGACTGAAAGAGAAAGCATGCTCCCCAAAGTTGGCTCCTCGCATTCTAACTGCAATAGTGGAAAGACAGCAAGGAATTTCAGACAGACAATATAATCCGGAAGAGGAACGGTTCCCAAACGGTTTCTGGTCTGTCATTTCAGACAGAACCGTTTTAGAACCGGTTCCCTACCGAAATATATTTGTAATTTCACACACAAACGCTTCTGTCCCATTTAGGAAATGGGGCTGAAGCATTTTACCTGTCAACCGCTTCCAAGTAGTCTTCAGTTTCCTCTCCCAGTTCCGATACGCTTTTTCCCGCTGTTTTTCATCCGCGCGGGCGATCTCCGCCTCTTTTTTTTACGTTCGCTTTAGAGCGTTATAACGGTACAACGCTATAACGCAACAGCATTATATCAACCCCATTGGAATGCCTGGAGTGTTGTGTTATACCACTATAGTGCTCTAAAGCGAACGTTTAAAAAAAAAAAAAGCCGGAGATCGCAAAAAGCAGTGGGGAAAAAGTGGTGCAGTCTGAAATGGCAAACCATTTCAGATCCAGCTCTTTACCACAAAGGGAAAGCCATGTGTGAAATGGCAGTTTACTCATCGATGGTGTTTCTAATTTCTCCAAGCGCCAGGGCAGCATCTCCCAAAGTTATCTAGGTTTTACAACTATTGAGAAAACATGATGGCCCTGACTTGGATAGCCCAGGCAAGCCCGATCTCGTCAGATCTCGGAAGCTAAGCAGGGCTGACTCTGGCAGGTACTTGGAGAAGAAGAGACTAGATTCATATCCTGCCCTTCACTACCCGAAGGAGTCTCAGAGCGGCTTACTTCTGGTGACCCCTACTGGGGGCTTGGACGTTTTTAGATAGGTGGCTTGATTAGCATCATGCCTCTGGTATTCCAGTTTGGTGTAGTGGTTAAGTGCGCGGACTCTAATCTGGGAGAACCAGGTTTGATTCCCCACTCCTCCACTTGCACCTGGAGTTTGTAAGCCGCTCTGAGACACCTTAGCGCTATCACGGAACTACTCCTCCTCCTCCTCCTCCCCGTTTCAAAGCCGAAGAGCCAGCGCTGTCCGAAGACGTTTCCGTGGTCATGTGGCCGGCATGACTAAACACCAAGGCGCACGGAACGCTGTTCCCTTCCCACCGGAGTGGTCCCTATTTATCTACTTGCAATTTCTTGCTTTCGAACTGCTAGGTTGGCAGGAGCTGAAACGAGAGACGGGTGCTCACTCCGTCATGCGTCATGCATTCTAGACACCACAAAATGATCTCAGCCACCACACAAAAATGCAGAAACGTGCATTATTTTGGCCCACTTTGCATTATTTTGGCCCTCCTCCTCCTCCTCTTCCTCCTCCCCCTCCCCCTCATCATCTCCGTTTCAAAGCCGAAGAGCCAGCGCTGTCCGAAGACGTTTCCGTGGTCATGTGGCCGGCATGACTAAACACCAAGGCGCACGGAACGCTGTTCCCTTCCCACCGGAGTGGTCCCTATTTATCTACTTGCAATTTCTTGCTTTCGAACTGCTAGGTTGGCAGGAGCTGGAACGAGATATGGGTGCTCACTCCGTCATGCGTCATGCATTCTAGACACCACAAAATGATCTCAGCCACCACACAAAAATGCAGAAACGTGCATTATTTTGGCCCACTGCAAGTCAAGATGTCATGCAGCTTCACATGTCATGGTTCAAAATACCAACGGGCCCGATTCAGACTACTTTTTAAGCAGGCGGAGGAGCACCCACAACGAGGGAGCAGGAGGATGCCCAGCAACGCCGTCCCCTGGACGTCCACTTGCAGACGTAACAACTACATACAAAATCCAATGCATTTACACTCAGAGACTAGGTTCTGTACGTATCTGGGCCCATGTTTGCTGAATTTTACGCGTGCGAGCCTTCATCTTCACCCATGCACACCCAGTGCCCCCCAAGGTGGGACAAATCTGCCTTTGGGACAGATAGGCAGGTACAATCCCACTCTTCCAGGCTTACATAGGTTCCATCCCTCTAGTTGTTCATCTGAACTGGGCCACGGTCTTTGCATTGGGGAAAAACAAAACTCAGCTTATCAGAAGTTAATGACGAACACTGTTTTCCTGTAATACTGACCTGCTTTTCTGGCATCAGCTTAGACACATCGGAGAAATGTCCTGCAGGCAAAGGTGTTTGTTTAGAGCTGGAAAGAGAAGGAAAACGTGATGGACTTGACCGCTTTTCTGTTGTTTTCAAGCAGCTCTTCAAACCCAACCCAGTGAACCACAACAGAGAAAAGCTTCTTTTTTTTAAGTAAGGCTTTAATTTTTTTTTTTTAAGATCTGGAGCAAGCGGGCTGGCTTGGTTTCCCTTAAGCAGCAGCGCCACTGGGAGGGGGGGGCCACTATGCTTAAGGCCCTGGACTAAGTCGCCATCCACTGAGGTTCAAGTGGCAGGAGCACCAGCGACAGGCCCCACCCCAAAGACATCAAGGTCAAACTGAGGGGTAGGAGATGCTTGAGCGGTTATTTCCCCACCTATCTTCACTAGCGGCCCCGCAGCATAGCAAACAGAAGGCTCCTGGCAAGCTGCCATCACTGCAAGAAGAACCAGTCTAAAGTCTATAGTTCAAGACCCCTGGAGTCCTAAGACCTGTTATCAGGATGGCTTCTGCACAGGTCCTATTCATTTCAGGGAGGCTTTTCTCAAGAGAATTTCTCACTGGATTAGTGGGATGTATCTTGTGTTAACTGAAAGGGAGGGAATGTGGATTTTCCCTCTCAGGCACCCAAATGTCTTGAGGTTGGACAAGACTAGAATTCCTTTTGCTTCCACACTCGTAGGCAAAGACAGCATTTAAACTTATTTATAACATTGTTGTGATGCTTTGCCACCCAAACTTAGGGGCCCCCAAGCAGTGTTCCCTCTAAGCTGAGTTAGTGTCTGCTAGCGCACAGTTTTTTAGCCTCCGGCTCACACATCTTTGTCTCTGCTCAGGAAGGACGGCTCCAGAGCAAACTGATTGAGGCAGTAGCCAATTCCTTGCTCGCAACTTTAATGCCAGTAGCTCACAAAGTAGAATTTTTGCTCACAAGACTCCACAGCTTAGAGGAAGCATTGCCCCCAAGGCGACAAACAACCAACATCATTAAAAACACATTTAAAAAAAAAACATATTACAAAACTGATTCAAACACACCAGCTGGGAGCAAACAAGCCAGCGCTAACGTTTGGCAGCCCCCAAGCATTTAAAACACGCACTGTAACTTAGATATGATATTTACCTGACACTAGGTTTCTTTACATAAAGTTCCTCGTCAGGTTGAAGCAGCAGCTTTCGCTCCGATTCGCTTCTAGCTTTGCAAAACCAGTTGTTCCCCTGAGAGATACCAAAACAGAGTTAGGAGCCCACAGCCTAAGTCCTCATCGGATACTACAGCTTTGTCGGTTGCAGGCTTACCGTCTGAGTCAGCTTGCACGTGGTGGAAAATTTGCTATGCCCAGAAACTTCTTTAAGAAAGCCTTCCAGAATAAGCTGCCGACCGAGTGCCTTCCACAAGTTCTCTGGCCAGTCCTTCCCGCTGCCAAAAAGAGGATTGGTTCGGTATCTGTCTGGCAGACGTTGAGAATTCTGAAAATTAAGACACACGCCCCACACAAATAGAGTTAAAGAGTAGAAAGAGCCACTCTCAACATTCTCAGCACTTCCTCATGGTGTGCAACATCATACAGGAAATACTGCCTTGACACCTCCACCCAGCCAAGGAAACATGGCAGGAGGGAGTGTAAAGTAATATTTGAACATGTCATTGAAACACCAACTGGTCCAGAACGTGGCGGCACAGGTCCTGACGGGAACACCATGGACTACACATATTCAACCTGTGCTGCGCCAGGTGCACTGGCTCCCAGGGGAGTACTGGGTAAGGTTCAAGGTTTTGGTACTTTAATGCCATGAGCATATTGAGATATATGTCAGAGTGATAGAGGTAGCAAGCAGTTACTACAGATCAGTTTGATCTGTTTGTCAGACCTAGCTGTCATGCTAGTAATCATGTAATTACAGCCAGGTGTTTCTAGCAGGTGTTACACTTTCAGGTCTTGTTAAGAGTTAGTGATTACATCACCATGTTAGAGATTGGCTGGGGTTTAGCATAATAGCTATCAGCTTGGTAAGCTGATGGGGACTCAGTTCTCATAGACTAAGGCACAACTATATAAACTCTCTGTGCACCTTCATAACTGGTCAGTCTCCCACTTCTTATTTACAATACCCAGTAGAGCAGTCTGGGACCCATGTATCTACAGGACCGCCTCCTCTGGTATGTCCCCTGAAGAGCCTTACGCTCTGCTGAGAACAACTTGCTTGTGATCCCTAGCCCTAAAGACATCTGAATGTCCTCCACCAGAGCCAGGGCTTTTTCGGTCCTGGCTCCTACCTGGTAGAACTCTCTGCCAAGCAACATCTGTGCCCCGCGGAACTTCATGCAGTTCTGCAGGGCATGTAAGGCAGAGATGTTCTGCCAGGCTTTTCACCGAGGACAGCAATGGGCACCATCTCACCCGGCACGCCCTTCCCCCTTTCCTCCACCCTGCTTTTCCCGCTTATTGCAAGACAGTAATGCACACTGTATGTTTACAGTATTCTGGCGTCATTCTGATGCTATTTTAACTCCTGGGTTTTAAACTGTATCGTTTTTTTAATTCAAAGAAGGGCAGCACAGAAGTCCAAATTATAAATAAGCAAACCTATTTCCATCTCAGATTGAATTCAGAGAGAAAAACAGTAGATTCCAAGGTGGTTACAACATTCAAACCGTTTGAAGTATATGTGGATACACTGAGAAGTACGGTTGCCAATTCTGGGTTGGGGAATTCCTGGAGATTCAGGGGTGGAGCCTGAGGAGGGAACTCAGTAGGGTATATTCCGGCAGAGTCCACCCTCCAAAGCAGCCATGGTCTCCAGGGGGGCTGAGCTCCATAGTCTGGAGATCAGTGGTAATCCTAGGAGATCTCCAGGTCCCACCTGGAAGCTGGCAACCCTACTGAGAAGATATAGCGCTATCACGGAACTGGATACTCTCTCCATCTCTCCCACTCCCTTCTGGAGTATAAATACACATGCATAAGACTAATCACAATTAGACATTACATTGAGACCAAAATGTATTGCACTTAAAGGTAAAGGTAAAGGTCTCCCTTGCTCGAAAGCCAGTCGAATCCGACTCTAGGGTTGCGGTGCTCATCTCCGTTTCAAAGCCGAAGAGCCAGCGCTGTCCGAAGACGTTTCCGTGGCCATGTGGCCGGCATGACTAAACACCAAAGCGCACGGAACGCTGTTTCCTTCCCACCGAAGTGGTACCTATTTATCTACTTGCAATTTCTTGCTTTCGAACGGCTAGGTTGGCAGGAGCTGGAACTAGAGACGGGAGCTCACTCCGTCTTGCGGCACCCGGGTCTCGAACTGCTGAGCTACAGACCTTCCACAGCCTGCAGTTCAGCGTCTTAACCACTTGAGCCACCGATTAAGTAATTCTAAGTATTGCACTTAGAATTAACTTAAGTGGGAGACCCCGTCTCAAATGCCCACGAAGCTTGCTGGATGACCTTGGGCCAGTCACTCACTCTCAGCCTAACCTACCTCAAAGGATGTTGTAAGGATAAAAATGGAGGAAGAAGATGGACATACGCTACCCTGAGCTCCACAGAGGAGAGTCAGGATTTTTTTTTTAAAACGTACTAAATATTCAAACTATCCAGAGTCTTTGGTTAACCCAGCACCTGAGACTTTGGCTTCAGGAATACATGAAGTAGATTCAACTAGGACACAGAGGTTGGGCCAGAACTACTCAATGACCTTAATAGCTCAAGCTGGAAATGTATGCTCCAAGAAACATGGGGCTGCCACTGAAAACAGCAGCTCTGTGTTATATTCCCCCACTGAAACATGTAGTACAACTGTCTCCCACTATCATTATGCTGTGCATTTTCTTAGCTTTGTTAACCCAAGTGAGGGGGGGGGGCGGTGCGGGGGAGGACACGGTCTCCGTAAGAATGTCAGGATAACATTTTAGGTGTTGAGGAGGGGGAGAAAGGAACTCGAAGCAGGGTAGCCCAGTGCTTCCTGTAATATTTAGTTTCTAAGCCTTCAGTCTTAAGCATATTTACCAAGGTTGGATCCACTGAACACAGGGGAGGCTGGCTTCTCTCAATAAACACACTTAGGATTGAAGTTTAAAGGCCCTCGTTGCAACAGAGACTATAACATAATGAACAATATTAAAATCTGGAAAGTGTTAAACATTTTTATTTTTTAAAAAAACCCAGCCCCTCTCTACAATTTCCTCGGGGCAATGTGTTAAAAGTTTTTTGTGCTTTTCTTGTGTCTTTATCAGGGGTCGTATAAAATTTCAGCCAAGCCAACTTCTTAATTTGAAGATCCCCAGGAGGTTCTGCTCACCACTGAATACTGACTCAGATTTCAAACAACAGGTGAAATCTGATCTCTCTTGCGACCCACATGAAACCTGTCTAGGAGCCCACCTGTGCTTATTTGTTACGGAGAGAGTCTGCCAGGTGGAACAAAACGGAGGACAACACAATTCTTCATCAACTACCGGCAAAAGTTTTGTGAGACAGATTTATAAAACACGGGTTACTTAACTGTAGTTAAGTGGAAGAGATTTCCAGCTGCCCTGTGCCACAACCACCCTCCTACACACAATTTTGATGCAAAAGAAATAAATGGCACGGAAGCTAAATTCCGGTTTAAAACTGGAATGGTGCTTTATTGGAAGGAGTGTGGCCCCTCGGGAAAACGTTCAGTTCGTACATTAAGTCTCGTAAATGTCTGAGAACAAAGAAAGAGCAGAGGCTCATACCAAAAGTTTCAAAGCCTGTAAAACAGGCCCCTTAGTATAAGCGGCAGAGTGAGTTCTCTGATGCCCATTATCTTAAATGAAGACCATTCTTTTACGGCTTTCACTTGAAGTCTTTTTCTGGCATGAGCAGAATGCTCCACTGAATTGCTGAAGCCTCGGGAAAAAATGATCATCCTTCATTTCTTTATTAGACTTATGGCCACCTTGAACCACAAGGAAAGGTGGGGTATAAATGTCTAAATGAAAGAAATTAAAAGATAAATACCACGCCTTTCTCTTTAGGGTAGGTTACAACAAAATCCATACAACAATTAAAATAGTTAACAGCTGCTGTTACTTACACTTGTTCATAGACTGACATGTACTGGGGACAAGATTTAAAGACTCAATGAAGTGGCTGGTATATATGGGCCGAATGTTTGAACTGTTCCACACGTTATCTTTCAGTAATCACTACCATGTGATATGATGGTGTTAAGACTAGAATCATATGGTAAGGGATACCGGGGAGGTTTCTATGTGTCCTCCCTTCAAAAAGACCTATATATAAAAATATGTCATTAAATGCTGGGGGGGGGGGGGTTATATGGTGAGGTTTCTCTCACAGAAAAACATCTGCACATTTAGGGAGCACGCCTGCTCAGAAGTCAGTGCTCTGAGTGAACTGCTCTCAGGAGTGCAGCCTTAAAACTCCAAGCTGCAATGGCACAGTCCAGGGAAAGCACCCACACCACAAATAGGGAAGACTGAGAGAATTTTTTAAGCATTTATTTACTTCACTTAAACCAGTGGATCCAGTGGGGATCCAAAGCAGCTAACTTTGTTCTCTCCATTTTATCCTCACAACAGCCCTGTGAGGTAGGTTAAGCTGAGAAAATGTGATTGGTCCAAGGTCACCCAGCAAGCCTCCATGGCAAAGTGGACCTCAAACCTGGGGGTCTCCAAGATCCTAGTCTGACACCCTTAACACATTTCTTCTCCCAGAAGAGGTTGCTTAAGGCCACCTGCAGATATTCATTGCTAAGGATATTTTAATTGGGGAATTTGGGGCTTACAGATCAGAATCTTAAATCACAGCAGCTCTCATGTAAGACAGATTATGCACACATACAAAAAGAGTCACTTCTTAAACCTACAATTAAGTCCCTTCCCCAAAAAAGGAATCTGCCACTTAAAAGATTCCAGTGCCTTTTAAGCTCTTTCCATGAATAGGTATACCATTTTCTTTCTTATCAAGGATAGAAGGTCAGGGGTAAACTCAGGGCTCAGAAATACAGAACATCCCAGAAGTCTTGCGCCATAGGGTATGCCTGGACACAGTGGTGTACAGATACAAATCTTGTTTTCCCTCACACCGGGGACAAGCTGCTCTTACCCCACCCACTACATAACCATGAGCCCTATCTAGCTGTCAACACATCCCGTAATACTTACAGATCCTCTGAGAAACAGGATTGGAACGCCCATGCCAAATTTCTCATTTAAGGCACATATTGCAGACATCAACAGGTAAGCCTGCTGACCAAAATCTTGCAAACTGACTTCTGTGTCAACCCCATAAGTACAGCAAATGTTCCTAAAAAGTGAAAACCCAAACAACAGCAAGCTCATGAGATTCTTACAATGATTTAGTCAAAATAATAAGTACTTGTTTATTTATGAAATCAATTCTCACGGTTCCATCGTACACCAACTTTACACTGTAGGGTGAATATAAAACAGAGCCCGGGATCAGGCTTGTTTTTCAGTCACTGAAGTCAAGAGAGCCAGGGTCCAAGTTCACTGTTTATCCTAGTGGCGTGTTCTGTCCTATTACTAAAGTGTGGATCAAAACACCCGCAGAACAGGGCCAGGCAGGGCTTTTTTTCTGGGGGACAGAGTTCCGGAACCTCCCTCTTGAGAGTTCTAGCACCTCTTTTTTTAAAAAAAAAAAAAAAACCCTGGCCAAGAGATATTTCTCTACAGATCTGGGGATTAAAAAAAAATAATAATTCAAAAAACGTTAAGAAAATTAGGGGGGCCCAGTTAAAATAAGAATGTAAGAAGAGCCCCTGCTGGATCAAAACAGTGGTCCGTCTAGTCCAGTATCCTGTCCCACACAATGGCCAACCAGTTCCTCTGGAGGTCCAACAACAAGGTGTAGAAACCGAGGCCTTCCCTTGATGTTGCCTCTTGGTATTCAGAGGTTTACTGCCTCTGAATGGGAAGGTTCCGTTTAGTCACCATGGCTAGTAGCCACTGACAGACCTATCCTCCATGAATCTGTCTAGATCCCTTTTAAAGCCATTTATACCTGTGGCCACCACTACATCTTCAGGCAGCAAATGCCATATTTTAATCATTCATTTTGTAAAGAAGACGAAGAAGAGTTCGTTTTATACCCTGCTCTTAACTACCTGAAGGAATCTCGGAGTGGCTTACAATCACCTTCCCTTCCTCTCCTCACAACAGACACTCAGTGAGGTAGGTGGGGCTGAGAGAGCTCTGAGAGAACTATGACTGACCCAAGGTCACCCAGCCGACTGCATGCAAAGGAGTGAGGAATCAAACCCAGCTCTCCAGATTAGAGTCTGCTGCTCTTAACTACTGCACCACAGCTGTCCTTTTGTCTAGAGATGTGAAGGCCCGGGGGAAAAACGGAAAAATTCCGGTTTTTTCACGTTTTTTTCCTGAAGCCTTTTTGGTTTTTTCCCAAAAAACTGGAAAAATTGAAAAAAGAAAAGAAAAGAAATTGATTATGGAACGTTTTATTTTAACATGATGAATAAAATATTTTAAGACAAGGTGTTCAAATATTTTCCAAATCATTTCTAAAAAATATGTATGGTATCAGATTGATCTAATTTCTGTGCACTGAGGACAAGCAAGTCCTAGGTTACAAACTGAACTCTCCAATGCAAGAACAAGATGCATTTCTTCCTTTAGGAGGTGCTATTGTCAGAAGAAAATAAAAAGGTTTCAGTTTTGTTTTTGCATGTGGGTGGGTATTCTGTTTGTAATAATTGTTTGGATACACTGTATTTTTAATATGCTAGTTCTGATAATTTCATGCCAAGTAAAAATGTCCATAGTCATATTTTATGTTCCTAAAGTAACAGAATGACTTTCAATCTAGAAAAGGCAAAAGAAATGATAATGTAGCATTTTTTTCAATTTTTCTGAAAATTTCCATTTTTTCCCAAAAAAACCTGGAAAAAACCCGGGGGTTTTTCTGAGCTTCAAAATTTCCGAAAATTTTTCATCTCTACTTTTGTCTATCCTGAATCGACTGCCCATCAGCTTCATTGGATGCCGGGAGAAAAGGTTACCTTTGTCTCACACACACCCATCAGAAAACCAGTTGAGCAGGCAACATAATCAGGAAAGATCTCACAATGTAGTGTCAAAATCTCAGCCACCACACTTCCATGGCATGTACAATGCAAAGCCTTTAAGTTGTTCCCCTGCAGGAGGGCTTTTATATGGCAAACACACACACACCCCTGTGTCAAAAGGGTAGCCTAGTCCTCACTGACCAGCACCCCACAGGAGGTGCAACAGGAGTTTGTGTGCACACAGAGATATGCTGCCCCCTCAGGCACTCCTTGCAAGGCAAGTCCCTCTCTCTGCATACTTTCTACCTGTCATGATGATGGGGACTGTTCTTGCTTCTAATCGCTCGTTCCCATGTTCCATCTTCCTCTTTATCTGTGCATAAGATTCTAGCGAGTCTAAGCACCAGAATCAAAGGCTGGGTTATGCAATTAAGGGGCAGGTCTGACGCCCACTGACCCCTGTTAAATTCTGTGGGACAAATGATTCTGGCAAGATGGTTAGAGGGGGACAGGTCAAGATCGACTGCCTTTAGAGACCAGAGGACATTAGGAGCGTGGGACGTGTCTTTCTTCCATGTCAGTGAACGGTTACCGTTCATTCTTATGAGAAAAAGGAAAGCACCGACTTGCCCCTCACAGGCAAGACTTCGCCCCCAACATTCCACTGTATGGCCAGTGTACACAAAAGCCAAGGTGGTCGCGTGCAGAATAGTATATATGCAGCCCCCCTCCAGTACCTTAGTCAGTTTTGCCACTACCGACTGAGCCGGGGAGCAAACATCAACATGGCAAAGGAAGGAAAGGAAGAAGTGTAAGGCCTGGCCCCACACTAGGGAAAGTCTCTTGGCTCCTGTCCAGCTATTGCAGGCCATGTTATCACAAGACACAGAAACAGGTCTGGTTATATCAGGGGCACTGAGGCCTTTGGTTGAGAACAGCAGCAACTGTTTCCATCATAGCTGGCACCCTTCCTGCCCCACCTGCTTTCCATATTCGTTTTACCCTCCTCCCCCCCCAGCTCGCGAAGCAGACAGCAGCCTGTAACAGGATAAATTAATATTCACCATCCTTTGTTTGAAATATCTTATTAATATTGTAATTGTTTTATCTTGATGTACATTGCCCAGAGTCCAGCATTGCAGGGATTGGGCGATTAACAAATTTAATATGTAAATAAATATAAATATCAGAAAACCTAACGCTTCCCTCTGCAATCTACAGCATCTTCTGAAAGCACCTGAACCTCACTTGATCACTTTTTAAGCTGTAATTTAACAATACTCAATGTTGATTTACTTTTTGAAGATAAATTTTACATTTCTACCTTCATTTTTTTGTCACATTCATTCTTTGTGCCCTGACCCAGATGGCCCAGGTTAGCCTGACCTCATCAGATCTCAGACGCTAAGCAGGGTCGGCCTTGGCTAGTATTGGGAAGGGGGACCCTCCAAGGAATACCAAGGTCGTGATGCAGAGCCAGACAATGGCAAACCACCTCTGAAATCTCTCTTGCCTTAAAAACAAGTCTAGCTCACCACTAGCACAACACTAGGAGCTAGAACTTGCGGCTGCCAGACAATCTTAAGATCTCCTGGCTATTCTACACACAATGCCATTCAATAATTATAATAATAATTATTTTATTCTTTGTAACAGAGCTTTTGAAAAACATCTTTAGCATTTTTATTTCACATTCTTGCTGTACGGGGCCATTTCAATCACATTATTGTTTTAAAAGCACAGGAAAATTTGTGGGTAAGGGGAATAGCAGAGACAGTTTCGGACCCGGATTGCTGAAGCCCAAATTCAATCCCTGCTCAGCGATGATTGTCACTGGGTGATCTTGGGCCAGTCATTTTCACTTTAACCTACCCTACGGGGTTACTTAAGGATAAAGATAGTTTCAGGTGGGTAGCTGTGTTGGTCTGAAGTAGAAGAGAAAGATTCGAGACCAGTAGCGCCTTAAAGACCAACCAGATTTCCAGGGCTCTTGTATCTGACAAAGCGAGCCTTGACTCTCAAAAGCTCATACTCCAGAAATCTTGTTTGTCTTTAATGTGCTACTGGACTCCAATCTTAAGGATATAGACAAGATAACCCACACATATGCCAATGTGAGCTTCTTAAATGAAGACAGATCAAGACGGGTAGCCGTATTAGTCTGTCTGTATCAGAAGAAAAGAGTAAGAGTCCAGTAGCACCTTAAAGACTAACAAAATATGAGCTTTTGTGAGTCACTGTTAACTTCTTCAGGTACAGCTAAAATGGGAGTCCATCTGTCCTATTTGATGGAGTGATTTCAGATGTCAAATGACATTAGCAGGAAAATGACAATAGCAGGTGAATTTTTTCGTCTCAGCCCCTTTGGTATAATGTTCCTTCTTCTGCATTTGGTGAGAAAGATGATATCTGTTTTGTACCTGTGCAAGTTTCTTCACAAGATAATTCTGTACGGCTGAATGTGGTGCCCTCCATGCTGAACTGCAATTGATAATAAAGCTCAAGACAATGCATCCACTTGGATTCAGTCGAGACCTAGGTTTCCTGTCTCATTACCAATGCCGATTTCTCCACCTCTATTACCCCTCTGCATTTCTCACCTAAATCCAATCTCACCTGCTATTGTCATTTGCCTGCTATTGTCATTCAGCATCTGAAATCACTCCAGTTTCCAATAAATAGGACAGATGGACTCCCATTCTAGCTGTATCTGAAGTGAGCAGTGAGCAATGAAAGCTCATATCCTGCCACTTATTTTGTTAGTCTTTAAGGTGCCACTGGACTCTTGCTCTTTTTTTTCTTACAAGAAGAGTGAGATGATAGTGTAAATACGTATACCAAGCTTCTAGGTTGCATTCTACAAATGAGTTTTTGACTGGGAATTGCTGAATGGAATTCCACACACTGACAGATACTTCATCTCAAAAGTAACAACAACATATTTTAAGGATACGTCATTAGCAGAAAGCCATTAGAGACTTATTTTCATCTGTCACATAAGCGGAGGGAAGACAGTTCGGCTGAACCTTTAATCTTCCGGGAGGAACATTTACCTGGATCTGCAATTATCGCAACATTTTTCTGTTCCCATGATGCCAGACGATGCCTTTCGGAGTTGTTTGTCTTCAAAATGAGACAAGATGATTCTGCTCGGTGGGGAATGTTGGGAATTAAATAAAAGAACAAGAATTGACATGTTAAATCCATTGAAGAAAACAATGAGCCGAAATCGTCGTCATTAATTGATTCACCCGGGAGCTAATTATCTAGCCCTGAATTATCCCTGAGACAGATGTAATTTTTTTTAAGTAAGAAATGTCTAGTGCAAAGTACAAAAAAAAAAGTCAATCAGAACCAGAGTGACATTTTCTAAAACAGAAGTCCCAGTTCTGAAAGATGTCCTGCTAGCTATGAAGACAGCTCCTGTTATTTAGCTACTAAAACATCTTTGTATAGCACTCACTTCCGCCGGCAGCTGATCGAACTAAGATAGGTATTGACCTTGGCCATCATCTTGAATTTGTACATGCGAAATCTTTCGTTGCATATCTCACTGAGTAGGTGTCTTTAAGGAGGAAGAAAAAGAAGAAACAGATCACTAGCTGCAATACTGATCAGTCATTATCTTTGCCCTGTTCCCTTCCCAAAAATATAAATTTCACTGATTTATGTGCAAATCTATCCCCCTTCATACAATGTGGATTTGCTTTAGCTATGTGGCAAGTTCTAAAAAGTGTTAGGAAAAGCACAGCCTCAAACTAACGCCTTTTCGTATCTTGGCACTAAGCTTTCCCCCATAACATTCCTCCATGTTTCTATTATATGCATATTCCGCATAAAGCAAACATAGTAAAAATGCAGTTTGAAACTGCAACTTAACACTTGTTTATCCCAGTATTATTGCTACCAGGAGCAGCTCTTCCG